TCCAATGGAAGACGTTATGTTGCATTATTTTCACTGCTTTACATAGCGAGTCCATTGTTCCTTGTTCTTGGTGTTTTGGGGATCCGTGTTTTTCATGATTTGTTCTCTGTGTGTCCATTCTTCAATCTTTTGATCATTCGATCGGATGAATTTTTGATGCAGTTTGTTAAATCGACCTTCTTTTGTTTAAATGCCTCGTGGATGTCCGCCTCGGAAGTGGAGTGGCAGTACTTCCATTTCATCTTGTAATCAATTACTCCTTTAGCGACTTCATCATGTGTACAGTCCTTGTTGATGTGGTCTGGTATGTAGATGCAGTTTCAGGTCTTTACCTGATAGATCGGTTGGAGTCAGAGAGGCAGGTATCATCTCTGGTGTGGGTACTTGTGCATCCACACCAGAGACCACTGTTATCCCCTCTGTGATTATTGGAGTCTGGGGGTGTCGTGATCCCAATATCCTTATACCTGGGGAGTGAAACCTACCCCAAGTTATCATCAAATAAAGGAACAAACAGGGAACACGCCAATAATTCTCCCCACAAAAACCGACTCAACTGAATATACTTGAATAAATAAGAATAAGTTGGAGTAAGTGAGTCACAAATAGGAAGATAATTAAATAATTCAATTTATGTTCTTAAGGGAGTACTGTCTAGCAACCATGGAATTTAAGGGAATAACTGATTGTATATTAAAATAAGAGTGATGCCGGAAGGGTGAAAATATACCGTTAAGGAGTTAGATCAAATGAATACTACTTAACATTAACTATATTAAACACAGACATTACAATATATACACAGCAATCAAAACCAACTGGTTATTTCCTACCAAATAGGAGATTCCTTAACACCAGGATCCCTTCCTAGGCCTAACTTAACGTGCCACTAATTACCAGATACCACTAGGGTATTGTAGATGACTGAACAAGGCACGTCTGTACTGGGTAAGTATCGAGGCTAGAGTCGGTGTGGACACGTCCTGCATATACCACGGTTTACTAGAGAAAGAGTCTCTGGCCACACAGCATATGAGTGAGGAGCGTCTTAGCTCACGTGACCCAGGACAGTTGCCAAATAGTCTATAACTAATTAATACTACTCTTGGTTTGACTTAACAGAGTAACACAAATGATGCATATTAATGATATACATAGATATACGATTAACCTAAGTAACTAAGAGCAACAATAAGATAATGTAATGATTATATGTCAGACCAAAGCTTACAGCCCAGAATTACGTCACATATAACAGCAAGTACGCTAGAGACCTCGTGGTACCACCACATTCCAGGTAGACACACCCCAAGACCCAAGGGACCTGACCTCGCCGCTCTCAACATGGGTTTACAAAGGGAAAATCTTGTCTAACAAATCTGCTGACGTTTTTTAGGAAAGTCTTCGAGGTAGTAGATAATGACGAAAATTACGATGTTATTTACTTAGACTTTAGCAAAGCATTTGACAGTACCGCATCAGAGGCTTCTGAGAAAAATTAAGGCTCATGGTATCGAGGGGAAAGTTTTAAATTGGATAAAATCATGGCTCACCGATAGAACGCAGAGGGTCAGCGTAGATGGTGTTAAATTTAAGTGGGGCCGTGTAACCAGTGGGGTTCCCCAGGGGTCAGTACTAGGCCCACTCTTGTTCATAATCTACATAAACGATCTAGATACTGGGATCAGCAGTGACATAAGCAAGTTTGCAGATGACACCCAAATAGGGCGGCAGATTAATTCAGGGCAGGATGGAAATGCATTACAGGAGGATCTAAATAAATTGCAGGGTGGTCTGAAAAATGGCAAATGAAATTCGACACCTGCAAGTGCAGCGTACTTAATATTGGAAGAAAAAATACTGTCAATGTATACAGCCTTAACAACATCAACCTAGAGAAGTCGACTTGTGAAAGAGACCTAGGGGTACTTGTAAGCCCGGACCTACGGCCTAGAAAACAGTGCGTTAATGTTCGAAATAAGGCAAACAGAGTATTGGGTTTTATGTCTAGAAGTGTAAGTAATAAGAGTTCAGAGGTCTTATTGCAACTATATCTTGTGCTAGTCAGGCCGCACCTCGATTATGCGGTTGAGTTCTGGTGCCCTTTTTATAGAATGGATATCAATTCACTAGAGTCGGTGCAGAGAAGAATGACGAAAATGATTCCGGGACTTAGAAACCTTCCATATCAGGATAGGTTAAAGAAACTAAACTTGCATTCCCTAGAAAGACGAAGAGTGCGGGGAGATATGATAGAAGTATTTAAGTGGGTGAAAGGAATCAATAAAGGGGATATAGGTAAAGTTTTTATAATATCCGAGCAGGATAGGACTCGAAGCAACGGATTTAAGTTGGAAAAGTTTAGGTTTAGTAGGGAGAAAGGAAGGAACTGGTTCACAAATAGGGTGGTGGACGAGTGGAACAAGCTTAGCAACTTTGTAGTAAGTGCTGGAACCCTGGAAAGTATCAAAAGGAGACTGGATAGATTCATGGATGATAGAGAGTGGTAGTAACTCTCGAGAAGAGCTGCCATGCACAGGCCAACTGGCCTATTGCAGACTCCTTATTTTCTGCCATGCACAGGCCAACTGGCCTATTGCAGACTCCTTATTTTCTTATGTTCTTATGTTCTTATGTTATTGACTTGAATTAGCGGGGGATTGACCTACAACTCACCTGATCAGGACACCTGGGCATGACCACACCTGCACACAGCTATCCGGATCTAACCAGTTTAGTGATAATTGGTTAGAGGTCAAAAGCCGGCTGGGCCGATCCCATATAAAGGCCCTACAGTCCCGTCCACGATCATTCTGATTCCGATTCTCATCGTGATTCTCACACGACTATCATTCAGAGAGGTTGGTCATTGAGAGGTCATTCTGGTCACTCGCACAGAGTCACGCTAGTCCCCTCCCCCCCAGGTCGAGGGGGGGGGGAGACTTCACGACGTCACCAGCTAAGGAGAGCATCGCATACGGCAGCCCAGCCAAGCACCCACTGGGCCTACGTCAGGGTACACGTGAGTCTTGTCAGAACTATCCCTTGGGTGAATTACCTACTGTGGGAAGTGTATCCATTCATGTTGTATCCGAGAGTCAGTGTCGAGTAACCTAACGTGTTAATACCCCGATATAATAGTGATATTGATGTGTCCATGTCATTAGGTGAATTAATAAATAGTTGTGTCGAAGAGGTGTTTAACAAGTTGTCCCTTTAAGAAGTAATATATGTGAAATGACATACGAGATAAGAAGATAAGCGTATTGACGCTGAGTAAATAACATTCGGCCCCGCTACCCAACCTTCCTAACTTTACATTCCTACTCTCTATACTTCCTACTTATATGTAATATCTTCTTCTTATGTGTTCTGTCTCATTATAATAATAGTAAAAATAACAAGTTATTAATAGCTTGTGTGGAGTGGAGGCGTAAACAGATACCACACGACATGCGTGTTCCTAAGAATTACAGGCACATGACAGGGGACAAGTATCATCTCTGTTGTGGGTACTTGTGCATCCACACCAGAGACTACTGTTGTCCCCTCTGTGATTGTTGGAGTCTGGGGGACAAGTATCATCCCCACGCGGGTACTTTTGCATCCACATCAGAGACTACTGTTGTCTCCTCTGTGATTGTTGGAGTCTAAGAGACATGTATAATCTCTGTTGCGGGTACTTGTGCACCCACACCAAAAACTACTGTTGTCTCCTCCGAGGTTGAGGATGTTGCCCTGAACAGTTTTGGGATGGGCAGATTGTGGTGACGTAAGCATTTTTCGAGTATTGTTTGAAAGCAGCCTGGGTGCAGAACATCCTTCTCATGGGCGTGTTTGACAATCATGTTGGCTAGAATGTCAGGGTCATGGAGGTATCTGTCTCTGGCATTCAACAAGACTGTAGAGTCTGTAGTGGCTGCAGGGACTATAGTGACTGCAGAAATCGGGGTCCCTACCATCACTACATCTCTGTATGTCCGTGCAGTGACTGCAGTAGTCGGGGTCCCTATCGGCAGCACAGCCTTGTATGGTGATACTGATGTCTTTGTGGCTTTTTGTTGTGCTTCCTTGATTTTTCCTTTCTTTTGGGACAGTTCATGGACATAGTGCTGTGAGGCCCATTTATATGGCGCTCGCCTCCTCCTGGGTGGGAGGTAGAGCGGGTGGGGGGTGTCCCGCAGTCCCCTGGTTCTGTGCTGGTGCTCAAACTCCCACTACCTTCCCCTTGTATACAAACCATGCACGTCCGTCTTTGTTCCTCAACGAATCCACGACTATGGCACTGATGTTATGTGTCACGACTAAGTACTAGATCATGTGTCACGACTACGGTACTAGGTCATGTGTCATTACTATTGTACTAGGTCATGTGTCACGACTATGGCACCAGGTCATGTATCACGACTATGGTAATAGGTCATGTGTCACGACTATGACACCAAGTCATGTGTAACGACTATGACACCAGGTCATGTGTCACGACTATTGTACTTTAAATATAAATATAATTTGCGTCTTTGTGTGTGTATCTTTCGTATGTAAAGTACAGTGTCTGTTTGTTTGTCTGTTCACGAAGTTGGTCTGCAGTTGTAACGAAAGATAGCTGAAAATTGGGTAGAAAATAAGTGTACTTGTGTAACCCCTCACAGAAACAGTTTCCTCTTTAAATTCACATTAATTATCAGATACCTCATATTCCACTTAAGTTATTTCTTCTACAATTATTTATGCTAGGTTTTACCATCACTGTGTACTATTTTCAACACAAACGCCTTCAGTCTTAAAGATGTATTCATGGAAAACTATCTTCAACACTGTACTGCTTTGGAATGATATGTGTGTGAGGAGTAGGGTGAGGGACACACCTATAGTCCTGCAGGTTAGAGTTAATAAATATTATGATCACGGGAAGTTAAGGATGCGCTATTATGTCAGGGCAACTTTAACATGTCTTTATTTTAATGTTTTACTGAAGTGTGTTTTTTTTTCTTCTTCAGGAAATGTACCACTTTATGTTGCAGAAGACGGTAAGTGCAAATGTTATGTTGTACGAGACGGTAAGTGTAAACGTTATGTTATACGAGACGGAAAGTGTAAATGTTATGTTGTACGAGACGGAAAGTGTAAATGGTATGTTGTATGAGCCGGTAAGTGTAAATGTTAAGCACTATGGTAAGTATCTTTTGTTTAATAAGTTCAAGTAAAAAGGCCTCAGAGGTTCAAAGAAATGTGTATATTTGTTTTATGTATATTGGGGAAATATTTAAGCCAGGACTCAGTGTTTCTCAAACTTTTTCACTTCATTCCCCCCATGAGAAACTCTCAACATCCTCGTGGCCCCCCTTCAGTTCTCTCCCAAGCCCCTCACAAATAATGATGAAAATAAACTGTTTTGGTTCTCTTCCTTTATTTTAATGTTTTCAATCATCAATGGGATAGATGACATTGTTTCCTTTCAGTCAGTAAACTGATTCGAGGTTGAGTCACTGATAAAGCACATCTCATGTCTGGGTCCACATGTAACCCGTTTCGGCTTTTATTCTCTATTTGAAGAAGGGTGGAGAAACCAGATTCACATAAATAAGTAGTAGAAAATGGCAAGAGGGCTCGAAGTGCGAACTCACTAACTTTAGGATATGACTGATACATTGAGCACCAGAATATAGTCAGAGATTTTTCTTCATCGAGGTATTATGATTACACACAATGAAAAAAAAAAATATTTCTCCCCTAACAAGGCAGTAACAAAAAAAAAAAGTTGAATTGAGTTTTCACATTTTCTCCAAACATATACTACTTACACTAGCCTGCCATGGCGCCCCTAAAATCTTGCCGTGACCCTCTTGGGGGCCATAACCCCCAGTTTGAGAAACACTGCTATCTAAAGCAGAATAAAATTAGAGCTTTCTTGGGAAAATTGGAATTGCTTGAAAATATATCAAAATGAGAAATTTACAGAATTAAAAACGGTAAAGGTGGAGGGGACCGCGAGCACCCAAATTTCTGGAGATACTATTTGCATGATACTAAACAGGAAAATAGAGCGAGAATGCACAGAATCTATTAAAACCTAACCTAATCTTACCTTACCTAACGTACGTAACCATACTTAACCAACCTAACCTTACCTAACTTCCTAACCTGTGCATTGTTATTTCGATTTTCTTATTTACAATATCTCTATAAAAAAATTAAACATTTCAATCCAATTTAAATCGTAATAAACACGCCCGATGAGATGGTTGTTGATTTCTTGACATGTAAACAAAGACCTCAAACGCTCCTGCATAGCAGAAGACACCAACCAAAACATGGTCGCCACAGGATCTGATAGCGCCATAATTACGGTAAATATTTTATTTCTTCGCCTACAAAGGACGTAGACACGAGAAATTACTGCCCTTTGATCAGTGTTCGCAGCGTTTTTACCCGTTATTTCCCGCTTCTGTCATGCCCTGTCCACGAACAAATAATTTATGATTGAAGGATAGACTAAAAATCAAAACAAAAAATGCAATGTTCTCGCCTAGATTTTATTGCTCGGTATCATCCACACAACATCTCCAGAAAATTTGATGCAATTCCATAAAGTCCTTCTGGTACTAGCGGTCTCCTTCACCTTTACTTTAAATCAATGTGATATGCATATACTTAGGGATAATCGAATTAAAGTAGAGATAATTAATATTGTGTACAAGTGAGGGTAGAAGGGGGCAGAGGAAAAAAAATAGTTCGCTCCTCAGAGCCATTTATAACCACGGAATATTAATTAGTAAAGACAATCAATGTTCTTCATGTAAATTTTATCTCCCTTATATATTTAAAAACAAATGTTGGTTATATTACAGCATCTGCCTGTATCTGCGTCGACAGGGGCTCATGTTTTACGGACCTGCTGAGAAGAGGGTTTCCTGCCTCGAGTAACAGGTGAGTTGTCTGATGAATTTCAAAATGAACACCGCGACTCCTGTTGTCTCGGTAGGGTTGTCAAAATCCTTCGTCTGTTGTATCATATTGTCTCACACAAAATCGTAAAAATGATTTTTGGAGGAAGTGCATATTTTCCATGTATTTATCTATTATCCCACTTTACAAACTCAGCAAAATGACTGCCCGGACGATATATATAAATATATATATATATATATATATATATATATATATATATATATATATATATATATATATATATATATATATATATATATATAATTCTGTTAATATCTCTTATTAATTGATGAATACTTGATGCTATTGTATTAATTCCTTCATCTTCCCAGTCAGCGCTGCTCCGGGCCAAATGATGTCTGCTGCCCCAGGGACTCCGTGGGAACACACTCGGTTATCACAGATTCAGCTCCTCAGGCGCTGGTCACGGTCACACGGGTCGTCACATCTTCGCCTTCACCCCAGGTTACGGTGACACGTGTCATTACATCTTTACCCTCGCCCCAGGTTACAGTTACACATGTCATCACATCTTCGCCTTCGTCAGTGGTTACACCCGAGAACGTGGTCGCCACCCTGCCTGGGGCTTCTGTAGGTCCTGGAAGTACAGGTAAGCTGCTATATCGTAACTACGTATTGTTACAGTCTTCATTAAAATAGTCACCTAATGTTGGATCATGTAGGCTAGAGTTAGTATGGACTGTTATTGATATAAACTACGTTCCTAACGACAACCCAAGCTGCCTTAACCAAATGACAAATCCTAATTTCACTGAACCTAACCTAACCTAACATGATAAATCTGATAATCTTCATCCAATTTAGTGACTCATCCCAAATATAACTTAATCCGTGTATTGAAACCCCACTTACAATACATTTTAAACTAAATAATCTAACCTACCCCAACCCAGGAAATTAACCTAATTCAGTGAACTAAACTAACCCAAATAAAAAGATGATTCTTTTAAGGTTTGACGTTGGCACGTTGCTATAAAACTTACCCTTTGTGTGGTGTGTGGCAGGCGAGCCTTGTTCCACGACTGGCACTCCGGAGGGAATATGCCTTCGCTACACTCAGTGTGAGGACCAGCTGTCCCAGCCCGTGAAGCTGCTGACGATACTACAGTTTCTTCAAAACTACGGCTGCGGTGTCGACAGGTGAGGAGGGTGTTGGTGCTAATGAAGTTATGTTATTATTTTATGAAGAATAACGTCGGTATCATAACACTCAAATGAACTTGCTGCCTAACACCTGCAGACCTTACGAGCCTCTCAAACTACATCCAATTGTTACTCTTCTCTCCACCATACCACACACATGTGGCGGCTTTGTGGTATGTTTGTATGTGTGGCAACGTGTGGTGTGATGGTCAGCATGCTCGCCTCGCAAGTGAGCGTACCCGGGTTCGATTCCGGGCAGGGTGAAACTATGGGCTATTTTTTTTACGCTATTTGCCTCTGTCTACCCAGCAGTAATTGGGAATCTGAATGCTAATCGGTTTGCCGATCGTATTCAGGGGTAATGATTAACCAGTGCAGTTGGCGATTTGTCCGGTCTTCTCGGACTATTCCTTGACGTTGGGTCATGCAACTCGTTAACTCAGGGTGTGGTTGTTGTGTTGGTGACAGCTTCTATTGTGTACCTTAAACAATTACACTCCAAGGTGGCCCTTGGGCCGGCCATCCTCGTTACACGAGGGGCAACCATTATAATTATTTGTATTATTATTATTATTATTATTATTACTATTATTATTATGTATGTGTGCATTACATCCATGCATACACACACACACACACACACACACACACATATATATATATATATATATATATATATATATATATATATATATATATATATATATATATATATATATATATATGTAATATTCAGAAATTTCAGAGTAATTTCAAATGCCGCGCCATTGGCGATACTGAGTTTTCAAGGTCGTCTGAGGGAAGAGAGCACTCCCCGCACATAGCGAAAGGTTGTGGAACTAGGCCTATACGATATTAAATGTAATTTGCCGAATTAATAATGATGCGATTCATGAAGTTATGGGACTATTATTAAATTTGGAATTATTATAGATCGTTTATCAGTCTGAATAATGTTACGGGTGTCCCAAGGAGTTATTAGTTAAGGCGGAAAATATGTCACGTAGGTGTAGTGAGGGGTTGTCAGACCACAGCTTACATCTCAGAAACTCCAGTCTGACCGGACATTAGCCGAGGGCAAAAGTATAGGGTAACTCTGCGGTTGACCAAGGATTGTAAATCAACTAGCTCCCCTCCCATGTGACATGTGGCCCCAACAAAACATGTAAGAAGGCACCAGCTGACCCTCTTCCAATATACAATAACCTACTCTCTGAACAAAGGCCGGACCTGACCTCACAATTAGCCAGGTCACTTGTAACCCTTGGAGCCCAACTCAAGGCCTCTCGTGTTACACGGCCCCACCTGACGACTTCTCCTTACATCTCAGAAACTCCAGTCTGACCCGACGTTTGGGAAGTCAAGTGTAGGGGAACTCTCACGGTTGCTCTCCCAATATACACACGGCCCCGCCTGATGACTTTCCCAGATAGTTCTGAAAAGGTCCAGGCCTGACCGCACATTTGCGGGGTCAAATGTAAGGAGACCCTTCGCCGCCCCCCCCCGGCCAGCTGAACCTGACGGCTCGCATCCCAATATATAGGACGTCCTGGTCCTCCCTCGGCGATTGGCAGAGAAGCAGTTGTCTTGTAACAAGGTGGCCAGCTACGACACCACCAGGCCTGCTCGAGCCGAAGTCAGAGGCCGGAGGCAAGTCGCCTCCGGTCAGGACCGAGACTTCCCTCCGGTGTCCCAGCTAAGCAGTCGCCCACCCGACACCAGTGTCCCCGCTAAGCAGTCGCCCTCCCGATACCAGTGTCCCAGCTAAGCAGTCGCCCTCCCGACACCAGTGTTCCAGCTAAGCAGTCTCCCTGCTAGGCCTTCCCTAGGTCACGTGAGTGTTTGTCAGAGCTTTCCATGGGATGAGTTACCTACGTGGGAAGTGTATTCATTTCATGTTCGTGTCCGAGAATCAGAGTGTCTAGTAACGTAATATGATGTCCTAGTAACGTAAATATAATGTCCTAGTAACTTCAATAGAAGGTGTTATTAATGTGTCCATGTCATGTTCGTAATTAATAAAGAGTTGTAACGAAGCAGTGTTTGAGAAGTCGCCTTTAAGAACGTAATAGATGTGTATTGACGTGTAAGACACGACCAGTGTACGATAAGAGTAAATAACTATCACGGCCACGCTACCAAAGTCTTCCTCTCTTTATACTCTTATACTATCAATATTCTACCTATATGTAATCTTCTTCTTGTGAATATTTCGTAACATTACAATGGCGGCAGCGTACTATGTGTAACCCACGCCTTCCTTGTCCCTTGTTATAGGTGACAGCGAACTATACGTAATTCACGCTTCCCTCGTCCCTTGTTATTGGTAACAGTGTACTTAACGTAAACCCATGCCCTCCCTCATTTTAGCCATAACACCTGACTCGTTGTTTGAGTATTGTTCGAAAGTGCGTGATAAGGAGTTCATGCAAGATATAGTTTCATTATATTGGCGGCAGCGTACTATATGTAACTCACGCCCTCCTTGTCTCTTGTTATAGGTGACAGCGAACTATATATGTAATTCACGCCTCCCTCGCTTAGTTATTATAATGGTAGCAGCGAACTTAACGTAAACTCACGCCTTCCCTCGGTTAGCCATAACACCTGGCTCGTTTCATCCTTCATTTGTTTCAGTCTAAGTTTGTCTACAATTGTGTAATAAGTAATTCCCGTGTCGTAGCGTGAAAAGTGGCCTAGTGTGTCACCGTTACAGCTCAAGTAAATGTCTCTCGTCGTGGTATGCGCGAATTTTTTTTTTCTAGAAATATGTTCAGTGCTTAATATAATTTCTCAGTGTTCCCCGCGTTCTGTGAAGTTCTCAGTATCCCAAGTGCATTTTAATTGTCGGTCAGTGTTAAATGTACCCATTGTGTTTTAGAGATAGAAGCGGTGTCTGTACTAACTGTTATAACTTAACATGTCTTTTAACCTACATCCTCCTCCCTGTCCTAACCCTCACCTCACCCTCCGTACCCATCCGTTCCCGCCTCGCTCCGCCCTGCCCTGCCCTACCCCGCTCCGCTCCGCCCCGCCCCGCCCCGCAAAGCCCCGGCCTGGCCCGATCAACCACGCCCCGGCTCCCCCCACCTCACCCGCCACGCCTCGCCCCACCCCGCCCCGCGCCGCGCCGGCCTGGCCAGCCGCGCCCCGCAGCCGCGCCCCGCCTCGCCTCCCCTAGGTGTGACCACCAATCCCCATATGTTTTGTCCCGTGAGTTATGCTTTGAAATCGGTGGTTAGTGTTACTTAATATTGCGATAATTACAGAGCTTCACTCAGTGTGTTTTTATGCTAGTATGATTTGTAATGTACTCTTTGACGCGTAGTGATAAATAATATTCAATGTAGTGAGCAGAGCTTCACTCCCCGACCCAGCCTAATGAGAAAATTGTCGTGACGGAAATAATAGTTACCAAACATTGACGTAACTTATAAAGTAAATATTTGTTTTTTTTTGCGAATGCACTTCCAACTAATCCATCATCCCTTTAGGATTGTTTCTGTCAAATGTCACACACAGTACCGCCCCATGGCTAGCCGGAATCCGTCCACAGCACATATACGAAGAGAAGAAGCAGCGTGAGGAAGGCAGCACCACACCCGCCACACACCACCCCACTTCTTTCAAGTCCTACCTGGTCTAGGATTAAGAAGAGTTTATATTTTTCTACTAGGAAGTTAAGGAGTGTGGAATGAAGTGCCACACAACGAACCCTGGTGAGCCCAGCCAGGGAGGGATTCACCACTGTGGAAGGTGTAAGACAGGACGGTCTTTGGTCTCGCCGACACTCACGTACGGAGGGCGAGGCCTGGTCCGCGGAACCTGCCTTACGAGTTATCTAAGGAGACGACAGCCCAAACAGTGGACCGGCTTTCATCCCAGCCGGAGAGGGCCGGCGGCAGATGAACAGAAAATCGTCTGGAATATGTTGAAAACGAAGATGTATAAAGAAATACAGATGGAGCAGAAAAATTCATCTGGAATATGACGGAAACGCAGATGAACAGAAAATTCATCTGGAATATGAAAATGCTCTAAACGTAGAGGAAGCGCAGGTGAACAGAAAAATCATCTGGAATATTATAGAAACCAGGAGGAAGTGAGAAGAAGTCAGATGTGGTGACACGACCTACAAAGTGCGGTATTGAAGAAAGAAAAACGTGCTATGTGAAGACAGAAGAGACGCTGTGCTGACATCAGAAGAAAGTCGACGATGAAAAGGTGGATAATCAGAAGGACCAATCGACTACCGTTGTTGTGCTGCCAGCATTCCTTATTTTCAGATACCAGCTGGATGGAGGACTTGAGCCATGCTGGACCCAACAAATGTACTGATGTTGTTGATGTTGCTGATGTGTAATAAAAAGATATAACACCCTAACATGTGAAGTAGGAGCATTTTGTATTTTGTATTTAATTCTCTGATTTTTGTTAACATGTACTACAAAGAATGTTTTTTTAAAAAGATTAGTCACTTTTTCTATGAGTTCATTTGATCAATGTTTTGTATTACCAAACACAATGTTGTAGCCATTTACTGACTGAGATGAATTATTATTTTGACACGGCCTGGTTAGGCAATGTAACACCTGTTTTTGTTTGTAGAATGTGATTTGCAAGTTTGCCTCGGACACTATGCTAGATATGAAGGATCTTTTGATCACTCTATGTTCAATTACTGTGTATGTATTTTATTTTTTTCTCCTGTCATAGAAGCTTTAATCTTGGCGGGAGGTATAGTAAGCTTTGTCAGATCAAACTATGCCAGTAGAAAAACATACGTCTCTAGGGTTATGATTTGTAAAATGTAAGGATGCATTATCGCCTGAGGGACTATGTTAGATACTGCACATGATGTTACTGTCTACTTTAAATGTATCATCAGTTCTCTGAGCATGAAAGCTTTGGTCTTGGCGGGAGGTGTAGTGAGGGGTTGTCAGACCACAGCTTACATCTCAGAAACTCCAGTCTGACCGGACATTAGCCGAGGGCAAAAGTATAGGGTAACTCTGCGGTTGACCAAGGATTGTAAATCAACTAGCTCCCCTCCCATGTGACATGTGGCCCCAACAAAACATGTAAGAAGGCACCAGCTGACCCTCTTCCAATATACAATAACCTACTCTCTGAACAAAGGCCGGACCTGACCTCACAATTAGCCAGGTCACTTGTAACCCTTGGAGCCCAACTCAAGGCCTCTCGTGTTACACGGCCCCACCTGACGACTTCTCCTTACATCTCAGAAACTCCAGTCTGACCCGACGTTTGGGAAGTCAAGTGTAGGGGAACTCTCACGGTTGCTCTCCCAATATACACACGGCCCCGCCTGATGACTTTCCCAGATAGTTCTGAAAAGGTCCAGGCCTGACCGCACATTTGCGGGGTCAAATGTAAAGAGACCCTTCGCCGCCCCCCCCCCGGCCAGCTGAACCTGACGGCTCGCATCCCAATATATAGGACGTCCTGGTCCTCCCTCGGCGATTCGCAGAGAGAGAGTTGTCTTGTAACAAGGTGGCCAGCTACTACACCACCAGGCCTGCTCGAGCCGAAGTCAGAGGCCGGAGGCAAGTCGCCTCCGGTCAGGACCGAGACTTCCCTCCGGTGTCCCAGCTAAGCAGTCGCCCACCCGACACCAGTGTCCCCGCTAAGCAGTCGCCCTCCCGATACCAGTGTCCCAGCTAAGCAGTCGCCCTCCCGACACCAGTGTTCCAGCTAAGCAGTCTCCCTGCTAGGCCTTCCCTAGGTCACGTGAGTGTTTGTCAGAGCGTTCCATGGGATGAGTTACCTACGTGGGAAGTGTATTCATTTCATGTTCGTGTCCGAGAATCAGAGTGTCTAGTAACGTAATATGATGTCCTAGTAACGTAAATATAATGTCCTAGTAACTTCAATAGAAGGTGTTATTAATGTGTCCATGTCATGTTCGTAATTAATAAAGAGTTGTAACGAAGCAGTGTTTGAGAAGTCGCCTTTAAGAACGTAATAGATGTGTATTGACGTGTAAGACACGACCAGTGTACGATAAGAGTAAATAACTATCACGGCCACGCTACCAAAGTCTTCCTCTCTTTTATACTCCTCTCGCTATAATATTCTACTACTATAACCTCCTAACTTACTTCTTCTAACAAGATCCGTTTCATTACATAGGCCTAAGCTAGCGCCTTGGAGAGACGCGACGCTGGCTGGTCCTCAGTCACGTGAAAGCGATTGGACCTACAGGACATCCCTGCCCGTCCGTCCACAGAAATAGTCACGTGGTCTAGTCACCTGTGTTGCGCTATTGCAGTATAACAAGTAAGTCTCATTCAATCTCAGACAGGGTTTAGATAGGGCAGTGATAAAGTTAACAAGAGCTAACAGTGAGTTCATTTCAGGGTTTCCGTCAGAACCCACTTGACTGAGAGAAATTGACTGAGAGAAATTGACTGAGAGAGATTGACTGCCGTTTGAGACTGCCGTTGAGGATTGATGATTGGCGATTGTCGCCGTTGGAACGATCAGTGCAGGCTTGTCACTGGTTAGCGGGGAGCAAAGGATCTCTTGAGTGAACGAGTGCTCCCGACAACTAAAACGATACTGGGCCAGCATCAGCATTGGGTGATCAGTTCTTACCACGTGGGTGCACAACACCACACCACGTGTCCTCGGTCAGATAGAAGTATTACCTACTGGCCATAGTCACCTGTTGGCGTTCTCTCTTCCCGCCCGTGGACGCACTGAGAGTACACTGAGGCTATCTGAGTAGATTAATGGTCACACACTGAGACCAGGAGTCTAGGGGATACCTAGAGAAACATTTTATCTCCCTTATTCCGGGTGTATGTTGGGTTGGGTGGAGCATGGTTCATGAGTATTGGTGGACCCAGTAACATCTCAATAATAGTGACAATATTTTTGTGTGTAGTTAGTACCATTTAATCAGTTACTGATATTATCTTGACATGTGTAGTCATAGTTCATAATTGATTTTGATAGTATTGTTTTTGAATGTTTGTGTCACTAAGTGGAACCAGAGTGATACTGTGATTTAATTCCTTTAATGCATTTAATTTTTCTTTATAATTCCGATCTCAGGTATAACCTTTGTTCCCCAGATTAGTGTTTAAGCTAGGTTAGGAATTGTGCATCGGTTGGGGTGATATAATTTTGTTGAAAGCCCCTAAGGCCTGTTTCATGTGTGCCAGCAACATTTCTTAATACTTTAAATTTATTGTTGCCTGAGTTTCTAATAATTTCAATATCATGTATAACTTTTATTCCCCAGAGTAGTGTTTTAAGTTCAAGTTAAGAGGTGCGCATATTGGTATACCATTATTTGATTGTGTTTGTAGTGTTGGAGGGAATATAAGTGTCTAAAATTTTACAGTGTGTCTCATTCATCCCAGTCACAGACGCTATCCTTCCACGGGTCACGGACAAGTCATTTTGTTTAGTAGATTTAAGTGTTCTTGTGCTGGTTCGGGATTTTTCTCAAAGGGGCGCTTCCACTGCAATTACCATCTAACAATCTTTAATAAACCCCAAGTCAAGTGAGAAATTAAAGTCCAGTAAATTCCGACCGGTTACATATATACTAGCAGAATCGCCGCCCTTCGGGCTGCTCATCCGCTAGGCAACGGTAGGAGGCCACCCTCCGGGAGGCTCCACATTGTCTCACTGTTCAGTCCCCAAAACTTCTTCTTCCATCAATAGTTCATTAACGGTGTATGTAAGTTCCACCATGTTTTTCACTACAACGGTACAGCAAAGTATATTTTTTTAGCATTAAACTGTTATTATTTTATTGTCTAATCATCACTACATATAACACCACCCATCATCACTACATATAACATCATCCATCATCACTACATATAACAACATCCATCATCACTACATATAACATCATCCATCATCACTACATATAACAGCATCCATCATTACTACATATAACACCATCCATCATCACTACAGATCGGTAAAGTAGTTTCCGAGATTCTCGTGCGGACACACACACACACACACACAAACACACAGACATACTTCGTGTTTTCTTCTTTCCTTGTGGTTATCAGCATATACCTAGATCACGCGCACCTACAGTGATTTACTTGCATATATATATATATATATATATATATATATATATATATATATATATATATATATATATATATATATATATATATATATATATATAAGGAAAGACAAAAGTTGTCGTGAAATTTTTTTGAAAACTTATGCCGAAGGGCTGAACTTTTGGTGCGCTCTGCCTCATAATGTTTCACGAGTTATATTAATCTTCGGGCAAAACCACCACACGATTTTTGTCTTTGATTGTACACACAATATTAAATCTGTAAATATTCATATATGGTTTATTTTTTCAGTAATGGAGACGTAAGAGTGTGTTGCCCAGTATAAAACAGCTTGGACGACCAGAGATGATCTTCCTCAAGATCAGCAAGGACTGTTGGCTTCAGGGAACCTCTAATGATGGACTAATGAATAAAAATAGTAAACTACTCTATCATTACTTTTAATAAATGACATCTACCTCCACAGGCAAAAATTGAGGGGAACATTTTCCAAGTGTTTTTTCCCTAACCTAATCTAACGTAACGTAACCTAACGTAACGTAACGTAACCTAACCTAACCTAACCTAACCTAACCTAATGTAACTGATTTGCTGGGAGTTACACTTAAGATATATATCTAACTTAGCCTAGGTTAGGTTAGGTTAGGTTAGGTCCATTTTGGTTAGGTTTGTGACTTTTTCTAGTGAATTTTTTCCCATGACAGTTTCCTCTATTTTTTCAATTTCTTCCGTGTAAATTCTTTATGCAATGTTTTCCCCACAAACGGTGGTAAAAGAGAGGGAATCAGACAGAAAAACCCCAAGTTCCAGGATTGTATCAAAGTGCGTATTAAACAATTTCCGTAATGAGTTTTGATGAGACACATTATGTTATACATTACATTTCTTCTGTAAATAATAAATGTGGTATAAACATCTCACTTCACGTAGACAACACCGAGAGGTCTCGAAAGACTAGTAAAGATTAGTAAAGATTGGAGAATGATAATTATCTACTGTGTGAATGACCTCCGGATTACGTGTTGATTAGGGACACCATATATACTGATGTGGTTCAGCCTTGGGCGGCGATGAAAGTGACGTAGGAGAATATGAAGATCGAGAGGAGGATGGGGAAGATGACGCGAGCCCAGTACATGAGGGTGGCTGCTCTTGACACCTGGCCTCGGGGACGCCATCCACCGGACTGCTTGGTCGAACTCTGTAATAAAGAGAGTGGTGAGATACGGGGGGGGGGTGGGGGGTGGGGAGTGGTGCGTGTGTGTGTGTGTGTGTGTGTGTGTTTACACACAAAGTAATGTGATGCGTCTAGTGTAGTAACACTAAGATAGTGTTGAGGTGCACTGCTCTGCTTGTTATCCCTCGCTTTCAGCTATTCCCGTTAGCTCGTCCTTGTGGTGAACGGGAAAGCAGCTCCGCGTCAGTCTTCTCCTGCCTGGACACAGCCTCTCCATTGCCAAGACTCCTACTGAGCCTCCTCGTGGCAGCACACGGTAACTGGGTGTCAGCGACCCCAGGCTAATACAGTAGGGGATCTCGGAGCAACTGGGGGAGGCCAAGGTAGTGGGAGTGGTGTTTGCGCTCCATCATACCCACTCAAAATCCACTCATTGCTCAAGACCTTTGCTCCAATCACCCTCATCTCATCATCATCTCGAAAAGACCTATGGCGATGGGAACGAGTGGGGGGCACAGGTCAAGGATGTGACTGGAAGTGTTTAGCTCCGACCTGCACGTAGGTGGTGGTGGAGTGATGGTCGCTGAGACATGGGACAGGGCAGAATGTCTCTTCGGCAGCTTCCATCATGACAAGCAGATCCCAACTGCTTCCTAACAGAGGGACCTAGAGAAGGTGGTCCTTAACAAATGCTGTCTGACTCTTGCAGCCGTCGAGTCATCCCATAATGCAGTCGAAACAATCAAAATAATCAGATTCAGAAAGAACTTAACATTGCCACCTGGAATGTCAGAACCTTATTGGACAGAGGGGAGATAGAAAGACCAAGGAGAAGAACTGCCTTGGTCGCTAATGAGCTCAAGAGATATAACATAAATATTGCTGCTTTTAGTGAAAACCGACTGAGTGGGGAGGACTCGCTGACGGAAGTGGGGGGTTGGGCTACACCTTTTTCTGGAGGGGACTCCAGGAAGACACGCGCCGTGACTATGAGATGGGTTTCGCTGTCAATACATCACTCCTTCGCAATATCCCTGAAACGCCTGCTGGAATAAACGAAAGGCTCATGACATGGCGCATCCCTCTGGTCAAAGGTCGCTATGTTACTGTATAATATGGACACGAAGTAGTACCTTAAGCTGTGTATTCTTATATTACTCTATTAATTATGTATAGTAAAGTATTACAGAACAAGTATTAATCCTATGTAATATTTCCATTTATTATGCACCATGTTATGTATGTGAATTATCATATTTACATTTTATGTGTTCAGCTTGTGAATGCTGGCATCTGTACATGCCAGCGCAGAGGGATACAAAGAGTTAAGATCACCAGTCCTTAAGGTGTGGAAGCGCTCTGTCTTATTAGTTCCCCTGTATATCTCCCGTACGAGAATAAGAACATATTTTCAAGCTAACAAGTGTTTGTGTATACCCTCAGCAGTGTAGAACATTTTGGGGGTACCAAAGACAAACATAGAGATACCATCTTCATCGCTTATGCACCCACCCTTGATGCTAATGAAGAAACAAAAGACCGCTTCTATAGTATATTGGAAACTGCTCTTGCAGATGTACCACCAACTGACAAAATTCTTCTTTTAGGGGATTTCAATGCTACAGTTGGATCAAACTATGAAACATGGGACAAAGTTCTGGGCAAGCATGGAGTACGGAAGATGAACAACAACGGACTCCGGCTCCTTACACTGTGCTCAGAATACAATCTTACGATCACTCACACCTGGTTCCAGATGAAAACCAAATACAAGACCTCATGGAAACATCCTCGATCAAACCACTGGCACCTCCTTGACTATGTTATTAGTCGCCAAGATGACCTAAAGGAGGTGCAAATCACAAGAGCCACGAAGGGTGCAGACTGTGGCACGGACCATAGGCTAATAAGATCCAGGATCCGCATGATAATTCGACCCCAACACCTGAGGCAAGCCCCCAGTCATAAACTTAACATTAAAACCCCCAGTAATCCTGAAACCTCTAACTCATTAAAAAACAAGATCACCGAAAAACTCCCAGCCCATGAAATTATGGAACCTGGCACTGTGGAAGATGGCTGGAAAGAGTTGAAGACTGCAATGAGCGAAGCTACAATGGAAACACTTGGCTTTTCAAAAAAGCGACATCAGGACTGGTTTGATGAGAACTCGCCTACCATCCATGATCTTCTCAAAATCCCAAAATTAGCCCACGATGCAGTGCTATCAAATCCTCAATCACAAACACTGAGGGACCGGTTAACCAACATCAGGTCAGAAACACAAAGACTGTTACGCAGCATGGAAAATGACTGGTGGGTAAAAAAAGTACAAGAAATTCAAGCCTTTGCTGATGTCAATAACACACACGGCTTCTATGAGGCAGTTAAGTCCATTTATGGCCCACAAAGAAGAAATGTCACACTAGTAAGATCTTTAGATGGCACCACGCTCTACAAAAGCAATCAAATGATTGCAGTAAGATGGGCTGAGCACTTCAACACACTTCTTAATCAAATTATTCCAATAACTCCTACAGCACTGGATAACATCCCACCCATGCCGACCCTGCACCTCCTGGATGAAGCCCCACTCCTATAAAAAGTGGAAACATGGAGGTCCCCATCTGACTGAGCGCCTCCATAGCCTCTTACTCACCATATGGGCCACAGAGACCAGCCCCCAGGTTTGGAAAGATGCAAATATCATAACAATCTATAAGAATAAAGGTGACAAATCAATCTGTGGTAACAGCAGGGGCATCTCCCTCCTTGTAGTTGCTGGCAAGATCCTGTCAAAAGTCATGTTATCAAGACTTATCCAACACCTAACGGAGAGCACTCTTCTTGAATCCCAATGTGGATTCAGGAAGGATCGCATTACAATAGACATGATCTTCGCGGCTAGGCAAATTCAAGAAAAGAGCCGAGAGCAAAATGTTGACTTTTACACCGCCTTCATTGACTTATCCAAAGCTTTCGACACAGTAAACAGAGAACTTTTGTGGACTCTGTTGGAGAGGGTCGGTGTACCACCAAGATTTTTAAACATCCTCCGCCGGATGCATGATGGAATGCAAGTCCGGTTACTTGTGGGTGGTGTGCAGTCAGAACCATTTAGTGTTCAAATGGGCGTAAAACAGGGCTGTGTGCTGGCAACTATGTTGTTTAACATCTTTTTGCTGGCTGTAGCACAACTCTCACACAATGCACTTGGGCCTGATGCAGGTGTGGGCATATGGTACCATCTTGACGGTAGCCTTTTTAATATTAGACGTCTGGAAGCCAACCCAAAGACCTTAACAACTCAGGTTATAGAACTACAGTATGCAGATGACTGTGCAATAATGACACAACAGAGAATCTACGCAACGTGCACTGGACGTGATCTCTGGTATTTACAGCTCGCTTGGTTTGCAAATTAACATCCAGAAGACTGAGATTTTTGTCCAGCCCATTGTTCCACCAATAGAAGCACCGCAATTCTATATTAATGGAGATCCTATCAAAATAGTAAATTAGTTTAAGTACCTTGATAGCACCTGCTCACTGGATATGGAAATTCAAACCAGACTCAATTTAGCCTCGGCTGCATTTGGACGTTTGAGAAAAAGAATCTTTTTCAACAATGACCTCAATTATGGAACGAAGACTGCAGTTTATCTCGCGGTCTGTATATCTACATTATTATATACCTCATAAATCTGGATGCCCTACAAACGCCATATCCAAATGCTGGAAAACTTCCACACTAGATGCCTTAAGCGTATCTTTGGAATATCCTGGGAAGATAGAGTGACTCTTGAAGAACTATATCGTCGCTCAAACACGACCAGCATTGAAACCATGCTAGCCAAAAGACACTTGCGCTGGCTTGGACATGTTATCAGGATGCCAGACCATCGGCTTCCAAGAAAAATATTATATGGCAAGCTTTCACATGGAAACCGCTCGGCGGGAGGACAGAAAAAGATATGAAGGACCACTCTAAAACTCTACTCAAGTGCTGTAATATCCAACCAAATTCATTGGAGCAACTAGCCTCAGACCGTTCCTTATGGCGCTTAACATGCCACAGAGGAGCGGAAAGACTTGAGACCTCACTGAACCAAAAGAGAGCTACTAAACGAGCCCAACGACATCAGAGGGCTCAAGGCATAATTCCTCTCAATGAACAACATCCCTGTCACCTATGCAACAAGATCTGCGCCTCCAGGATTGGACTCCATAGTCATCTACGGTGGCATCAGAGGAATAACACATAACCCATCAATCATCTCATCTGGAGCAACGTCGTCATCGACTTCGATGGACTGCCATAAGCAAGTAAGGGAAGTGTGGTAGGGAGGGAGGAAGGCCTCACCTGCCCCATTCCTCATCATTCACCTACCTGCTTTCCTCCGTCCCTAGCTCCCTGCTCACTCACCCCCCCACCCCCCCGATCACTCACATCCCTCCCTGGTTCCCTGCTCACTTATCTCCCTCCCCGGTCACTCACCTACCTCCCTGATCACTCACTTCCCCCCTTGGCTCCCCGGTCACTCACATCCCTCCCTGGCTCCTTGTTCACTCACCTACCTCCTTGGTCACTCACCTACCTCCTAATCACTCACCTCCCCAGTCACTCACATCCCTCCATGGGTCCCTGGTCACTCACCTACCTCCCTGGTCACTCACATTCCTCCCTGGCTCACTTTCCTCACCTCCCTCCCTGGTCACTCACCTACCTCCTTAGTCACTCGCATCCCTCCTTCCTGGACCTTGATGGGGACGACCTTCTGCGGTTCGTTTGGTTCATGGATAAAATCGACGACGGTCTGGGTGACGATGATGCTGAAGATACACCCAATGGCGCCAAACATCCAGATATCGATCATCTTGAAGTAGGAAGTCCTGGGCAGCTGTGATGATGTCTGGCTGAAGAGCGTCGTCAACACCAGCATTGATGTTAGAGACACAATAGCGCGCACCTGTGTGGACCAATGACCGAGGGATTTGTGAACACCAAGATAGATCTTTATTGGTCAGAAACAGTGGTAGTCATGAGCTTCTTAGGAAATTTATTAATGGTAAATGAGAAAATATGTGTCAGTTCAACCAAGGGTGCCGTAAGACACCCGTTAAAAAGACTAATTTCCAACGGGGTAATTTCATATGATTTCGTTTCAAAATACGACTCAAGAAATGCAGTCGGAAAATTTGAGAGTAATTCGCTTCTTACCTGGAAGTTGGAGAGCTTGAAGTAGGTAGTGAGGTAAGCGATACAGACGAAGAAGATGGAGGGGATGTAGGTGGTGAGAACATAGTAACCATAACGCCTACGGAACCCGATGGTCACCTGTGATGAGAAATAACAAACAACGTGCACCTGGGGTGAAACACACACACACACACACACACACACACACACACACACACACTATCACTAGCACTGTCACTATGTTGAAATGCCCTGTAGTTTGAGCTTTTCCCCATCTAGTTATTATATATCTTAATTGTACCACTTATGTTACTTGTATATTATTTGTAAATCGAAACCCATTCCCTAATTATGTACCTGTATATTTTCAGCCTTCTGGCTGCTATGCTCTTTCAATAAACCGTTAATTATTATTATTATTATTATTATTATTACACACACAGATCAGAGATAAGTTGCTGCTGTACTCAAGTTAGTGGGTACAGTATATGGGTGTGTGTGTTGAAGGTTATGTACTGTGGTTGTGAGTCTTCTAACGTAATATGAAGTGTCAGAAGTCTTTAGTTTAGTTTCACTCGACTCTCTGTACTGTCTGGGCTTTGCTGGGGACGTCGCCTTCAGTTTTAGAACCTACTGTAAATTTTAGGTCAAGTGTTAGGTTTATGTCTAGTTAGTGAGTAATGATTTGTGGACCTGAGATGGTAAACTTTACAAGGTGTTAGGAAAACTTTACCAAACATCATCATTAACTCGAACACGATGGGCAGCTTCAAACTATAGGTTGGACGGATATATGAGCGACAGGGGTTGGGTGTAAACGGGACTGCTCAGTATAGGGCCTATACTGAGCAGCCTATACTACAGGCCAATAGGCCCGCTGCGGTTTCCTCTATTCTTATATTGTTCTCTCTCTCTCTCTCTCTCTCTCTCTCTCTCTTTCTCTGCATTCTCTTCCCATTCACATTGGTTCCTCGGTCTACTTCCTTTCTTCCATGTTTTCATTCGTCATCAGCATCACCATCAACACTATCATCAGTTCATCACTATTATCACCATTAACACTATCATTACCATCATCACCATCAACACTATTATCAGTTTATCACTATTATCACCATTAACACTGTCATCACTAACATCACCATTAACACTATCATCATTATCATCACTCTCGCCACTATTATCACTATCATCAACATCATCACCTCAACCGTTCATCTCTCACCATCTGGACACTGTAGAGGTCGTCGCTGGAGTTGCTGGTCGCCATGGTAACCTTCTCTATGGTGTACTCGATAAGTTCCTTGGATCCGAGGAAGGCGACGCCTTGCTCGTGCAGCTGTCTCAGAGTCAAGTACTGACGAGGTGCTGACGTTAAGGTGAACACAAGATGACATTCCTGCAATCAGGCGAGGAACGTACATTAAAAGTACAGTAAAATGAAACACATACTCTCTCTCTCTCTCTCATTCTTCATTTTCATTATATTAGTTATACAGGGTGATTCAGCAAAGAGTATATTAAATTGGAGGGTGAAATCCTTGGATAATTCTAAACCACAATGTCTCTATGCTAAAATGTCAGATTGTGCATATGCCCATGTGTTCGTGACAGGAGCGAGCAAATTAAACATACTGTAGTCCAGGCATTCTGGAACGCGTCAGACAATCAATGGTACGACGTGTACAGACCTGCATTGAGGTTGTAACAAAGAGGAGTCACACTGTAGAGATCTGTGAATAAATGATTACAAAAACCTACGAGGGTTTCACATCAAATTCTCTCTCATTAATACAACATCTTAAATGTATTGTAACATGGAAACTATGCAGAATCTGACATTTTACCAAAGAGACATTGTGGTTTAGAATTATCCAAGGATTGCATTCTCCAATTTAATGTACCCTGTACATCTTTTGACTAAAAATAAATACATTACACAACAATACTTATTAAATTAACTATACATGCAGGGCGATTATCTAAGAGAAATTATAACACACATACACACAACACACATACTGTCTTCAGCCTTCATGGGATTTATCAACATCCTCACACCAACAGTACAGTGCAAAGATTGACGATCAACCCACAAGTGATATAGAAAAGTGACAATTTCAATGCGAAAGAAAGAGACAACTGTTAAGAGTTGTGTTCTAACCTCACTAGAGGAAAGGTCATGGCTGCTTAGCTCTGCTCCAGGGGATAATTATCAGATATGGTTAGTGCTACTTGTGAATGGGGTTACGCCTTTCTGTGGGCCGAGTTAGAGAGTACCAAGGAAAAAAACCTGAAATTAAAGGAAGAAAACTTGAAATTAAAGGAAGAGATAGCAAGGATGAAGGAAGAAACGAGACAAGGAGAGCCGGTGAATGACGATAACTCTGGGGACTGGAAGGTTGTGAGGAGAGGGACGACCAAACTGGTGGTGAAGAAACACAACAAGGATACGACAACAACGACAACAACACCTAAGTGTACCAACTCGTTCAGTCCCTTGACAGACGAATTGGACGTTAGTACAGTCAGGGACAGGGCTGACAAGGAAGGTATAAAAACTTTAATTGTTGGTGACTCACAGGTAAGGTACTTGGACAGAGCCTTTTGTGGTAAAAATAAAAATAGGATGAGGGTGTGTTTGCCAGGGGCTGGGGTGGGGGATATAGTTGACAGGATGGACAATATCTTGTCTGGTAATGGGAACAAACCCATTATCTGCCTCAGTGCTGGAGGCAATGATATTGGCCGGTGTAGGAGTGAAGAGCTTCTTGATAAGTTCAAGACAGCTATAGATCGTATTAGGACTAAGGGAGGGATCCCTATCATATGTGGTGTCCTGCCTAGAAGGAGAGTTAGCAATGAATGGTTGACAAGGGCAGTTGGTGTCAACGGCCGTCTTGACCGATATTGCAAGTCAATATCATTCCCATTCATTGACAATTGGGACAACTTCTACAGCAGAAGGGACCTTTATGCTAGGGATGGGGTACACCTGTCTCGGGATGGGGTGGCAACCCCGGCTGGGTTTCTAGAGGGGGCAGTTCAAAAGATATAGAAGTCTGTAAACTGCTAGGGGAACATATGGGCACGGGGGTGGAGGAGACTGCAGTGGGAGCGGGTAAACAAAGTGAAAGATTACAGGGAAATAGTGTTAGGAATGATGACAAAACTAAATTAGACAGGGAGTTTAGACCTAAACGCGGTAAAGGGAGGACTCAGAACACGACTAACTTAAAAGTCTACTACGCGAACAGTAGAAGTATGAGAAACAAAATAGATGACATTAGGGCCTTGGTATGTACCAAAAAAATCGATATAATAGCATTCACTGAAACATGGATCAACCTAGACTCACGTGAGTTATCTGTCGAATACCAAATTGCGGATTAAAAATTGTTCCATACCGATAGGCCGTCCAGGAAAGGAGGCGGAGTAGCAATCTATGTCATGGATAATCTGAAGTGTAAAATAAATAAGGAAATAAAAACTGAGCGGAAAACAAACAATTTGGATAGAATTAATCGACGGTAGGGAAAAATTAATCATAGGAGTACTATATAGACCTCCCAATCTTGATAGAGTTTATGAGCGACTTATCTGGGATGAAATGCGCAGGGCTTCCATACACAACAAAGTCTGTATAGTAGGCGATTTTAACCTTGGCCAAATAGATTGGTCTGACCTTACGGGTAACTCAGTATCAGAGGATTTCCTCGAAACAATCCAGGACTGTTTCCTCAGTCAACATATAAACGAACCCACCCGGGGTAATAATATACTCGATTTAGTTCTGTTGAACAGAGAAAACCTCATTAGCAATGTTGAAGTAGGGAACGAACTTGCAAACAGCGATCACAAAGAAATTAGATTCCAGTTAGATTTTCAGGTGAGACGTCAGGAGAAATCCATGAAAGTCCCAGATTTCAGAAGGGCAAACTTTGATAGTTTAAAGAGGCAGCTGAGAGAGGGGGTGTCGCGCTTGGGGGTGAACCTGACAGATGACACAGACCTGATAACGAGATCTGAGATTGCCGAGTTCCACGACAATTTAAATAATGAGTTACTTAATGTACAGAGGCAGAACATACCATACAAAAAACTCAGATCAGACACCAATGACCCTAAATGAATAAATAATTATTTAAAGAACATTATTGGCCAAAGGAAGGCTATAGGTAGAAGGATAAATCGTGGCGAAATTTACCTCCGGGAGTATTATAAGGTATTGGCCTGTAGGGTTAAGACCGAGATAAGAAAAACAAAGAGAAATAATGAACTGAAGATAGCAAGGGAGGCGAAGACAATCCCCAACGGATTCTACCAAATGTATCAAACTAAAACACGAGATAAGATTGGACCAATACGTTCAGATACCGGCGAGCTAACTGATATCGACGGAGAAATGAGCAATAATCTGAATAAATATTTTTCAACAGTTTTCACCACCGAAAATGTAAACATGATACCCGAGGCACCGACTCTATTCAGAGATAGTGAAGAAAACAAATTAAGCGAGATAGTAGTGACTAGTAACGATGTTAATAAGCAAATAGACAAACTGAAGCCTAATAAGTCACCTGGTTCCGATGAGATATTTGCCAGAGTATTAAAGGAATGTAAGGCTTAGTATGTCCTTAGCAAAGTTGTTTAACATGTCATTACAAACAGGTGTAGTACCAGAATCCTGGAAGATAGCGAATGTAATACCGATTTTCAAGAAGGGGGATAGATCACTATCCTCTAACTACCGCCCAATCAGTCAAACATCAATAGTGGCAAATTACTAGAATCAATCATTTCAAACTCTATTCGAAATCACCTGGAGAAGCACAAGTTGATCAATGATTCCCAACATGGCTTCACAAGCGGGCGTTCATGTCTGACTAATCAATTAACATTCTTTTCATCAGTTTTCGAATCGGTGGACGAGTCTCCCACGAAAGACTAATTAGAAAGGTAGAAGCGCATGGCATGAAAGGTAATATCCTTAAATGGATTAGGGCATGGTTACGGGACATGAAACAACGAGAGAGCAAAAACGGCACTAAATCATATTGGAGCAACGTCACTAGTGGAGTTCCCCAAGGCTCAGTACTTGGACCATTATTATTTATTATATACATAAGCGACATAGATATCTGCAAGGACAGCAACATAAATAAATTTGCTGATGACACTAAAATAGGACGATTAATTCAATCTGACGAGGACTCTGCAAAACTACAGGCCGACCTAAACAAATTTTTCGAATGGTCGGAAAAATGGCAGATGAAATTCAATGTGGACAAATGTAAAGTACTCGGTATAGGAGATGTAAACAGGGAAACCAGTTACCAGATGAACAACAATGCCATTGTGGAATCCGACTGCGAGAGAGATTTAGGACTAATGATAAGTAGGAATCTTAAGCCAAGTAAACAATGTGTTTTTGCTCGTAACAAAGCTAAAAAAGTACTTGGGTTCATACAAAGGAGTGTTAGCTACAAGACTAGCGAGGTCATCTAAAATTATATCTATGGCTTGTGAGACCTCACCTGGATTACGCAATTCAGTTCTGGTCATCTTATTACACCCGGATTAATCTTCTTGCTCGTTACTGCTGCTAACTCTCTCGTTTGCTGGTGCGGACGACACTTGGGGCGGTTGGACAGAGGTGAGAACGGCAGCAACTATCTGGGTCACCGGCAGATTCAACCCAGCCGCCATACAGTGACTATCTAGCTACCCGGCTGTTCATCAAATTCTGGCTATGATCTCATCATAGGTCCTGGACTCGTGGGCTGTGTCCCCAGACCTTCACCTATAGACTGTCAATTCTCTGGTCATCTACCACTATCACATGCCACGACCGTCAATTTATCTCATTCCGTCTGTGCCCCGGTGTTCTCCTGCCATTTCAAGACAATCTGCCGCTGTCGCTCGAGTGTGGAGTTGAATGGATGCTTCCCTACCCTGAGTGGGCATCACCGTGTTCCAGAACCTTCCCCCAGGGCCACTGCCGTAGGAAACATCTGTTCATTGTTTGATTCTATGGTTGTTTGATTCCATAAATTGCTGACTCCCCTTTATTGTTCAATTCTATCAATTGCTGACTCCCATTAATTGTTTGATTCCTTTAATTGTTTGCTTCCCTTAATTGATTAACTCCATTAACTATTGACTGCATTAATTGTTTGACTCCCGAAATTATTTGTTGTTTGTTGAGTGGTGTCAGAGTTTTGTGTTATATTTTTTATAGTAAAGAGATGTCAATCTCAAACGGTTGTTTGCTATTCCTCAGAAAACCATGGTCCTTGACTTTCCTTTATTAAGAACCTGATTGGTCTGGTAAGGGATTTCTATCCCAAAGTCCCAGGCCTTTACACCGGGCATTAGGAACCTTGAGTACAGAGACAGGTTAAAGGATCTTAATTTGCACTCCCGTCGACAGACGTAGAGTGAGGGGCGACATGATAGAGGTGTATAAATGGAAGTCAGGGTTAAACAAAGGGGACATTACAAAGGTACTCAAACTATCCAACCAGGAGCGAACTCGTAATAATGGTTTTAAATTAGACAAATTTAGATTTCGGCGTGAAATAGGTAAACACTGGTTTGGAAACAGAGTAGTGGATGAATGGAACAAGTTACCAAATATCATCATTTACTCGAATACGCTGAATAGCTTCAAACATAGGTTGGATGCTTATATGAGCAATAGGGGTTGGGTATAAACGGGACTGCCCAGTATGGGTCAATAGGCCCGCTGCAGTTTCCTCCATTCTTATGTTCTTATGTTAAGAGTGAAAATCAGTGCTCAGCGGTCAATGTTGATATGACGCGGACCTGACACACCCAGGGTCCGCCGTACACTCACCACTACCAACATTGGATGAGAAGCCAAGAAAGACTCCAAACTACACCAGAGAGAAATGAGGACTCCCTACTCCACCCAGGTGAGGAACTATGAATTCCTAACTACATCACATGAGGAACAAGAACCATCTCCAACACCCTGTGTGAGCTGAAAGACCTATCCGGACCACTTGGTGGATATGCTAAACACCTGCACCTGTAGTGAGGGAGGAGCTTAGCACCTTGGTACGACGACCATCCAAACAGTGGGGACTTGTTGGCGCCAATATCAGGTCACAAAAATGTTTACAAGACCAGCTCCCACAGTAACAGTTCTACAGTTATCTGTATGTTGACTCTATGTTTCTTATATTTTTTGCATTGAAAGCTTTTGTCAATCAAGTGATCCACTTCCTGATTTCACCATATGTAACTTATCATCTCTGTTCATGCAGAATGGATATAGAATCCTTGGAAAGAATTCAGAGTAGAATGACAAGGCTAATCCCGGGCATTAGGAACCTTGAGTACAAAGACAGGCTAAAGCATCTTAATTTGCACTCCCTCGAGAGACTTAGAGCGAGGGGCGACCTGATAGAGGTGTATAAGTGGAAGTCAGGGTTAAACAAAGGGGACATTACAAAGGTACTCAAACTATCCAACGAGGAGCGAACTCGTAATAATGGTTTTAAATTAGACAAATTTAGATTTCGGCGTGAAATAGGTAAACACTGGTTTGGAAACAGAGTAGTGGATGAATGGAACAAGTTACCAAATATCATCATTAATTCGAATACGCTGAATAGCTTCAAACATGGGTTGGATGCTTATATGAGCAATAGGGGTTGGGTGTAAATGGGACTGCCCAGTATGGGCCAATAGGCAAGCTGCAGTTTCCTCCATTCTTATGTTCTTATGTTCTTATGTTCTTATATTTCCAGCCTTCTGGCTGCCATGTTATCTTAATAAACTGTTAATTATTATTATTACACACACACACCGTTATTGTGTAAATGCTCACTCTGTTGAGGTTAAGTGGTAGCTGGATCTGGTCGAACGGTTCTCAGAATGCTTCACTCTTAGTTCTCTTAGGGGATCATAGTGGACTGTCCACTTTTCCACTTAGTTAAATGTAAGTATCTTATAGCAAGGATTTAATATAATATAAGTCCTGCGGTAGTTTTATACTGGTGTACAGTCATTCTCTGAGTAAAGTACAGAGACTGCCGGGCTCGAACCTTCTATGAGAGGAGCTTTAGACAGGTTATAACTCTGAGTCGGCCGGTGAAGAACTGAATAAAAACTAACTTACCCACAGCACATGCACCGGGGTCGGGATATGACTCAATCCTACTCAGTATCATGTGGCAACCTTAGTGTTCCAGTTTACTTTCATAAGTGTGAACGGTTGCGTTCGCTGAGCGATAAGGAGGCGACATCAAAACGTGAAGTCTCTACATGATTATAAAACTTCTGGGTTCTCCGTAGGGCGTGTGGCGCCACAGGGTGGGCAAACGTCCTGCGAAACATCAATAATTCAATAAAACTGGTAGTTAAAGATACCAGTAATGATCTGTTTTAGATAATTATGCTGAATATCCAACTGCTCTGGGGCGTCTTACTAATTGGACTTCTGATAAATACTTGATCATGATGAGGGATTCCTAATGTAATGTGACGGTAAATAAACTGCATATATCTATTACCTTACTAGTGTATGGCACGTCTGGCCTACTCTCACAGCCAAGGTTATTATGTCTTCTGGAGACTCTGGAAGTCCTACGTTGTCACATTTTCTAACTCTCGCACGCACGCACGCACACACACACACACACACACACACACACACACACACACACACACACACCGTGCTCTTTTCCCACACTCTCTCACCTGCTTGTCGAAGGGATACATAGACAGGTCGAAGTTGCAGACGTATCTGACCGAGTACTTGCGCCGCAGCTGGACGGGGTTCTCCTTCCCCTCGTAGATGTCCACTATTGACGCCAGGAGAGATAACAGTATATGTTGTCTCGTGCTCTGGGACTATAAGTGTGTGTGTTCTGTATGTGTAGCTGAGAGTGAGTGAATTATGTGTAAATGACCAAAATTTCCCGGGTTTTGTTACATTTTCTAAAAGAAAAGTAGAGATAACAATTAAGATGCATGACCATGATAATTTTTAGAAATTTTCTTCGTTACATAAAAGTGACCTGTCAGGGCATTTTCGGTGCAAACTGTTCACACATGTGGATGACTTGCAATATCCGTAATATTAATTGGACTACATTTTCGTCCTGGAAACTAATATACGTAGACGCGCTGCCTCTCGGCCACGCCATAATGACTGTTTATACGAGGGTGGAACGTTAAATGTAACAGGAACCCCCAAACATAATCTAGCAACCGTTCCATTCACACGACCACTTCCCGCGACTGCTACATTATATGATTTACTGTAGATAAGGTCAACTAACCAAACTAACCTACCTGTCCTAGGATGGAAGTACATATTTTAGGTTAGGTTAGGCGAGGTTGATTTGGTTGAGTAAGGTATTGGAAAGGTCACTGGGAAGCGTTCGGTCGGTCGCTGGAGATCGTTTGTCAACAGTTGAAGCCCCACACATAGTGTCCTCGGGTGGACGGAGCGTACTTATATAAAAAAAAGAGAATTAAGGAAAAAAATACGAAAATTGCAATTCCTCCAAATGTTTTTCGAGATTTCGTCCTAAAAATTTACAACAAGGCCGCGAGACACAGTGACTAAGGTAAAGCTGAGACAGAGACCAAAATCTTCCTACCTTCTTCAGTGTAAGAGAAGTCGCCTCTTGTAGCAAGTCCCAGGCGGAGGATGGAGGCGGCGGTGTCCTTATCCACCTCACTGTTTGCTATCCCCTTGGCGTTGCTGAAGGCTACCTGTGTGGGGGAGGGGGAGGATGGACGACACTCTTATTATTAACTTTGTTCTGCATAAAAATATTGCTCGTCACTACATCTACGTAACAACCAAGTCCAATGTGATGACCTGTAGTGACCTGTGATGACATGAGATGGGCCAATTGACCTGTGGTGACCTGTGATGACCAGAGATGGACCAACTGACCTGTGGTGACCTGTGATGACAAGAGATGGGCCAACTGACCTGTGGTGACCTGTGATGACCAGAGATGGACCAACTGACTTGTGGTGACCTGTGATGACAAGAGATGGGCCAACTGACCTATGGTCAGTTGGAGCAATGTCACAAGTGGAGTTCCCCAAGGCTCAGTACTTGGACCATTATTATTTATTATATACATAAACGACATAGATATCGGCATAGACAGCAACATAAGTAAATTTGCTGTTGACACTAAAATAGGACGTGTTATTAAATCTGATGAGGACTCAGCAAAACTACAGGAAGATCTAAACAAATTTTTCGAATGGTCAAAAATGGCAGATGAAATTCAACGTGGACAAATGTAAAGTACTCAGTATAGGAGATGTAAACAGGGAAACCAGATACCAGATGAACAACGATGCCATAGAGAAATCCGACTGCGAGAGAGATCTAGGAGTAATGATAAGTAGGAACCTTAAGCTAAGTAAACAATGTGTTTTTGCTCGTAACAAGGCTAATAAAGTACTTGGGTTCATACAAAGGAGTGTTAGTTACAAGACTAGCGAGGTCATCCTAAAACTGTATCTTGCTCTTGTGAGACCACACCTGGATTACGCAGTTCAGTTCTGGTCACCGTATTACAGAATGGATATAGAATCATTGGAAAGAATTCAGAGGAGAATGACAAGACTAATCCCGGGCATTAGGAACCTTGAGTATAGAGACAGGTTAAAGCATCTTAATTTGCACTCCCTCGAGAGACGTAGAGCGAGGGGCGACCTGATAGAGGTGTATAAGTGGAAGTCAGGGCTAAACAAAGGGGACATTACAAAGGTACTCAAACTATCCAACCAGGAGCGAACTCGTAACAATGGTTCTAAGTTGGACAAATTTAGATTTAGGCGTGAAATAAGTAAACACTGGTTTGGAAACAGAGTAGTGGATGAATGGAACAAGTTACCAAATATCATCATTAACTCGAATACGCTGAATAGCTTCAAACATAGGTTGGATGCTTATATGAGCAATAGGGGTTGGGTGTAAATTGGACTGCCCAGTATGGGCCAATAGGCCCGCTGCAGTTTCCTCCATTCTTATGTTCTTATGTTCTTATGTGATGACCAGAGATAGGCCAACTGACCTGTGATGACCTGTGATGACTAGAGATGGGCCAACTGACCTGTGGTGACCAGAGACGCAGGAGGTCTTGGAGAGTGAGTGTGTTGAGAACGTTGTCCACTTTTAGGTTGTGGTAGAGGAGGCGAGGGTCGGCCCACTGTAGCCTCACTAACATGTCCAGTGTCAACTGCATATCAACCGTGTTGATGTCCAGCGCCAGCACGGAGATCTGGGGAGACAACATAAATAAAAATAATAATAATAATAATTAACGGTTTATTGAAAAGCATGGCAGCCGGAAGGCTGAAAATATACAGCGAATGTGTGTGTGTCCTACATGTTCAGCGCCAGCACGGAGATCTGGGAGAGACAACAGGGTGAGAGTGTGTGTCCTACATGTCCAACGCCAGAACGGAGATCTGGGGAGACAACAGGGTGAGAGTGTGTGTCCTACATGTCCAACGCCAGAACGGAGATCTGGGGAGACAACAGGGTGAGAGTGTGTGTCCTACATGTCCAACGCCAGAACGGAGATCTGGGGAGACAACAGGGTGAGAGTGTGTGTCCTACATGTCCAGCGCCAGCACGGACATGAAAGGGGTTAGAAGGACCTCAACCAGTTAATTTATTGTACGTACGAGAAAGGGAATTTTGGAAGAAAGAAGCAAAATGCAGCTGAATACATTGATTATCATAGGAGTTTCTGCCTTAGTAACACTAGGCTAGAGGGTGGAGGTAAGTAGATCATAGTGTCAAGTTCCAAGAGTTTCTGCCAAGGTTGAGGTGATAATGTCTGAGAAACACGAGGGTGTCGTGGTCATCTCTCTGACATCATCTGTTGATACTTGGTATCTGTGACAAAAAGGAAATTATATCCAGATTGATAAGTTTTGTGATCTATGAGTATAGTGAAACCTCTATTTAACGGACTATATGTAAAAGAAAGTCCGTTATATAGATGTGAAACCCCCATTTAAGGGATTATATATGAAAAGAGAAGTCCGTTATATGGAGGTTTCACTGTATTTATAAGTTCCCACCCTCCCAAGTGTTATTTAAGGTGTTTACAATTACAAGACACTGTCAGACGAATCACCAATTATTGTACGGACTGCCAACTGATCTACCAAAGCATGAACGGATATGTAAACCAATAACAAATTATATATGTACTTGTGGTTTACTTGTTTCATACAAAAATCAAATAAACACCTTGAAAAATGACAGAGGAGGGTTGTTGACGTGTGTTTAGGAGAGAGAGAGAGAGAGAGAGAGAGAGAGAGAGAGAGAGACTCACCTGGATCTGAACGGGAAGAGGTCCTGGTGAGTGCGGCGGGGGGATGTTCTTCTTGTAGCTCGGCGGGAAGACCACAGTACGACAGTTCTCCTCGTCCGTCTCGTCATGGCAGTCTGTCTGGCGAGGAGGAAGGTGGTCGTGAGCTAGGCGGTCATAAGGCAGGTAGTTCCAAGTAATAACATCACAGCCAGGTCGCTTATATTTACACATTTATTAATTCAAGTTGTCCGTTGCTGCTTCCTGATACATAAATATAAATTGTATATTTATTCTGTTTCTGTTTGCTGTGGGCTACATCTGACATTCTTGTTATGATGGCGGAGGCAAATTTGTGGACAGAATTCCCTGGACACGATCAATATGTGGTAACCCCTCCCCCCTCTCTCCCTCATCAAGATTAAGTAGTTACAGTGGGGGGAGGAGGGGGGTGTAAAGTAGAATTTTAACGCGTATATCATCACCACTTTATTCATTCATAGTGTTTACAACTTGAAGTACAAATCTCTTCCTGACACGGACTAATTGGTGCCATATATTACCAACTGCGTCGTGAGGAATTCTAATGACAGCTTTCTCTTAAATTGATTTACCTGAGATGTGTATTATTGACCAGGCAAATCAGATACTAACATGCCAATGAGTTATCATCACGGGAGCCATAAAGTACCACAGATGGTCACGTTAGCTCCAGAAATCCATAACATAAGATGGTACCGACTAAAAAATACTGATTTTATTGAAGATAATCTTCTCCAGAGTCTAGATATCAGTTTGGTTGAAAATCTATTATTCTTTGTTTGAGGTCCAAGGTTCACGCACCAGTCACGCACGTTCACTAGTCAGGCACGTTCACCAGTCATGCGCGTTCATCAATCATGCACGTTCATCAGTCATGCACGTTCACCAGTCATGCACGTTCACCAGTCATATACATTTACCGGTCATGCACGTTCACCGGTCATGTACGTTCACCAGTCATGCACGTTCACCAATCATGCACGTTCACTAGTATAACAAGTCAAAGATATACATATAGGTAGAATATTTATAGTTACATAAGAACATAAGAAAATAAGGAGTCTGCAATAGGCCGGTTGGCCTGTGCATGGCAGCTCCTGTCGAGAGTTACTACCACTCTCTATCATCCATGAATCTATCTAGCCTCCTTTTGAAACTTTCCAGAGTTCCCGCACTTACTACAAAGTTGCTAAGCTTGTTCCACTCGTCCACCACCCTATTTGTGAACCAGTTTCTTCCTATCTCCCTCCTAAGCCTAAACTTATCCAACTTGAATCCGTTGCTCCGAGTCCTATCCTGCTCGGATATTATAAGAACTTTATCTATATCCCCTTTATTGATTCCTTTCACCCACTTAAATACTTCTATCATATCTCCCCGCACTCTTCGTCTTTCTAGGGAATGCAGGTTAAGTTTCTTTAACCTATCCTGATATGGAAGGTTTGTAAAGTGAGGAAGTTTGGTAACGTGTCCGATTAGTTTTAGTTATATATATACATATATACATATTATATCGAACTAGAACATTATATTTACGTTACTAGACACTGACTCTCGGACACAAACATGAAATGAATACACTTCCCACAGTAAGTAACTCACCCTATGGATAGCTCTGACAAAGACTCATATGACCTGAGGGAGGCCCAGCGGGTGCTGCTGGACTATGTCTGCTATGGGAGACTCTGCGAGCTGGTGACGCGGGGGTCGGGAGGAAAGTCTCCCTCCCGACCTGAGGAAGGACGAGCGTGACTCTGTTCTCTGTCGATAGTGTCGTGACAGTGAAGTCTGGAGTAATGGGTGAATGAATGCCAGAATGCCCCGTGGACGGGACTGCAGAGCCTTTATATGGAGGAGAACCAGCCGGCGAATGACCTCTTGGCAAGGTGTGGTTGTGGGTCATATCACCCGGCTAACTCAAGTAATTAGTGCCCGGGTCAGGTCTCCTGGGACTGTAGGGTGTGTCAACTTAGTATGAGGGTTACCATGAAGGCGTCTACTTACTGTTATATGTGATGTATTTCTCTGGGCTGTAAGCTGTGGTCTGAAAAACAATCATTACACCTCCCGCCAAGACCAAAGTTTCCATACCAGAGAACTGATCACACATATAGACAGTAATATCATGTGCAGTATCGAAAATAGTCCCTGAGGTGATAATTCAATCTCACATTTACAAACAATAATCTCATAGATACTGGCATGTATGTTTTTCGACTTGCTTAGTTTGATCTAACAAAGCTTACTATACTTCCCGCCAAGATCAAAGCTTCTATTCCAGGAGAAAACAAAAACACATACACAGTAAGTGAACATAGAACGAGCTTAACTGAGCTAAAGATCCTACATATCTAGCATAGTATCCGAGAAAAACATGCAAATCGCATTCTACAAACAATAACAAGTGTTACGTGGCCTTGCCAGCACATGTCAAAATAATAATTCGTCCCAATCAGTAATATGGCTACAGCATTGCATTTGGTGGTACAAAACATTGATCAAATGAACTCATATGAAAAGTAACTAATCTTTCTTAAATAAAAAACAAAAACAAAAACATTCTTTGTAATAAATGTTTACAGAAATCAGAGAATGAATTACTTCAAAATACAAAAAAAATGAGCCTACTTCACATGTTAGGGTGTTATCTCTTTTTATTATATATAAACAACAAGAATACAGTAGTGTGGACAGCATGGCTCACGTCCTCCATCCAGCTGGTATCGGGGATACCGGCAGCACAGAAGCGGTGGGTTGGTCCTTCCGATGATCCACCTCTTCATTGTCGACTTTCTTCTGATGTTAGCACAGCACGTTTCATGTGTTCTCTCTTCTCATAGCATGTCTTTCTTTCTTCAATACCGCACCTTGTAGGTCGTGTCTCCACCCCTTCTGACTTCTTCTCACTTCCTCCTGGTTTCTATCATATTCCAGATGAGTTTTTCTAGCTCCATCTGAGTTTCGTCTGCACAGTTTCATTTTCCGTCATATTCCATATGAGTTTTTCTGTTCCATCTGCGTTTCTACTGTACGCATCATTTTCATATTCCAGATAGATTTTTCTATTTCCATCTGCGTTTCTTCTTTGCAACATGTAGAGCATCGTTTTCCGTCAAATTCCAGGGTTTTTTTTTCTGCTCCATCTGCTTTCCGCCCTTCCGGCCGGGATTAAAGCCAGTTCACTGCTTGGGGTGTCATCGTCTTGGATGACGTGTAGGGCAGGGTCACCGGACCAGGGTTCGCCCTCCGTATGCGAGTGTCGGCGAGACCCTTGACCGTCTTGTCCCACACCCTCACAGTGGTGAATCCCTCCCTGGGTGGGCTCACCAGGGTTTGTTTGTGTGGTGTTGCCTTCCACACGTCTTAACTTCCTAAAGTAGAAAAATATAAAATCTTCTTAATACTAGACCAAGGGAGGACTTGAAAGAAGTGAAGTGGTGTGTGGTGGGTGTGGTGCTGCTTCATCACGCTGCTGGGGGGCTACTGTGTGTGACATTGGACAGAGAAAGACAATCCCAAAGGGATGATTAATTAGTTGGAAGTGCATCCGTAAAAAAAATATTTACTTTATACGTTTCCGTCACGACAATATTCTCATTAGGCTGGGTCGGGGAGTGAAGCTCTGCTCACTACGCTGACTATTATTTATCACTACGCGTCAAAGAATACATTTCAAATCATCCTAGCATAAAAATACACTGAGTGAAGCTCTGCAATTATCGCAATATTAAGTTACACGAACCATTAATTTCAAAACATAACTTACGGGGCAAAACAGACTGGGGATTAGTGGTCACACGGGGCAGGGCGGGGCGGGTGAAGCGGGGCGGGTGGGGTGGGGATTAGTGAGGTCGCATGGGGTGGGATGGGGTGGGGTGCGGCGGGTTGGTGCGGGGCGGGGCGGGACAGGACGAGACGGGACGGGACGGGGCGGGATGGGACGGGTCGGGTGGGGTGGAGTGGTTTGGGGCAGGGATGGAAGGGTAAGGAGGGTGAGGTGGGGATTAGGACAGGGAGGAGGATGTAGGTTGTAAGACATGTTAGGTTATAACAGTTAGTATAACGTAGACACAGCTTCTATCACTACAACACAATGGCTACATTTAACACTGACCGACAATTAAAATGCACTTGGGATACTGAGAACGTTACAGATCGTGGGGGACACTGAGAAATTATATTAAGCACTGAACATATTCCGGGGAGTTATGCTAATAACAATTCGCACATACCATGATGAGAAACATTTACTGAGCTGTAAAGGTAACACACTCGGACATTTTTCACGCTGTAATACGGGAATTCCTTATTACACACTTTTAAACAATACTCAAACTGAATTAAATGAATGGTGAGATGAGCCAGGTGTTATGGCTAAATGAGGGAAGGCGTAGGTTTACGTTAAGTTCACTGCCACCATTGTAACAGGGAGGATTTAAATGTAGGAGATATAGATAGAATATCTATTTGTAGGATGTAAAGAGAGGAAGTTTGGTAGCATTGCCGGTTAGTTACTTCGCTGGAAATATACATTCTTAGGAGACATCTTGTAAACACCGATTCAATACAACTATTTATTAATTTACTGAATGGCATGGACACATTAATATCAACATTATATCGAAGTTACGAGAACAATATAAGAACATAAGAACATAAGAATGGAGGAAACTGCAGCGGGCCTATTGACCCATACTGGGCAGTCCCGTTTATACCCAACCTCTATTGCTCATATAAGCATCCAACCTGTGTTTGAAGTTATCCAGCGTATTCGAGTTCATGATGATATTTGGTAACTTGTTCCATTCACCCACTACTCTGTTTCAAAACCAGTGTTTACCTACTTCACGCCGAAATTTAAATTTGTCTAATTTAAAACCAATATTACGAGTTCGCTCATGGTTGGATAGTTTGAGTACCTTTGTAATGTCCCCTTTGTTTAACCCTGACTTCCATTTATACACCTCTATCATGTCGCTCCTGACTCTACGTCTCTCGAGGGAGTGCAAATTAAGATGCTTTAACCTGTCTCTGTACTCAAGGTTCCTAATGCCCAGGATTAGTCTTGTCATTCTCCTCTGGATTCTTTCCAAGGATTCTATATCCATTCTGTAATACGGTGACCAGAACTGAACTGCGTAATCCAGGTGAGGTCTCACAAGCTCTAGATATAATTTTAAGACGACCTCGCTAGTCTTGTAACTAACACTCCTTTTGTATATGTTCTGGGTACCAAGTTCTATCTACAGGAGCGAACACAAACACCTGTAGAGTTTTCGTAGGTTCTATTTACTGGATAAACAGAGATACACAAGCGAGGTGGCGCTCCTTACTCTGTCTGGGGGGTCAACTAGCCTTTTAGGCAACATGTGGCAAGTGATACATTAGCAGCTTCCATATGTAGCCAGGCACATTAATTAAGCGTGTGGGACATGGTAAATACATTGCCACACGCTGCTAGCTAGGCTGAATAAATAATGTATATAAATGGAGCACATACATAATATACATACAGTATACATAATATACTGTACATACACCTTTGTATGAACCCAAGTACTTTATTAACCTTGTTACGGGCAAAACACATTGTTTACTTGGCTTAAGATTCCTACTTATCATTACTCCTAAATCTCTCTCGCAGTCGGATTCCACAATGGCATCGTTGTTCATTTGATAACTGGTTTCCCTGTTTACATCTCCTATACTGAGTACTTTACATTTGTCCACATTGAATTTCATCTGCCATTTTTCCGACCATTCGAAAAATTTCTTTAGATCTTCCTTTAGTTTTGCAGAGTCCTCGTCAGATTTAATTACACGTACTATTTTAGTGTCATCAGCAAATTTACTTATGTTGCTGTCTATGCCGATATCTATGTCGTTTATGTATATAATAAATAATAATGGTCCAAGTACTGAGCCTTGGGGAACTCCACCAGTGACGTTGCTCCAATGCGATTTAGTGCCGTTTATGCTTACTCGCTGTTTCCTGTCCCGTAACCACGCCCTAATCCATTTAAGGATATTACCTTTGATGCCATGTGCTTCTACCTTTCTAATTAGTCTTTTGTGGGGGACTCTGTCGAAGGCTTTGCTAAAGTCGAGATATACCACATCATAATGGTGCCCCTCGTCCACAAATTCGAAAATTGATGAAAAGAATGTTAATAGATTATTTAGACATGAACGCCCACCTGTGAAGCCACGTTGGGAATCGTTGATCAACTTGTGCTTCTGCAGGTGGTTCGAATAGAGTTTGAAATGATTGATTCTAGTAATTTGCCTACTGTTGATGTTAGACTGATTGGGCGGAGTTAGAGGATAGTGATCTATCCCCCTTCTTGAAAATCGGTATTACCAGGTGACTTATCAGGCTTCAGTTTGTCTATTTGCTTATTAACATCGTTACTAGTCACTACTATCTCGCTTAATTTGTTTTCTTCACTATCTCTGAATAGAGTAGGTGCCTCAGGTATCATGTTTAAATTTTCGGTGGTGAAAACTGTTGAAAAATATATATTCAGATTATATCTTATTTCTCCGTCGTTATCAGTTAGCTCGCTGGTATCTGAACGTATTGGTCCGATCTTATCTCGTGTTTTAGTTTGATACATTTGGTAGAAATCTTTGGGGTTTGTCTTCGCCTCCCTTGCTGTCTTCAGTTCATTATTCCTCTTTGCTTTTCTTATCTCGGTCTTAATCCTACCGGCCAATACCTTATAATACTCCCGGAGGTAAATTTCTTCATAATTTATCCATCTACCTATAGCCTTCCTTTGGCCAATAATGTTCTTTAAATAATTATTTATCCATTTAGGGTCATTGTTGTCTGATCTGAGTTTTTTTTATGGTATGTTCTGCCTTTGTGCATTAAGTAACTCGTTATTTAAATTGTCGTGGAACTCGGCAATCTCAGATCTCGTTATGAGGTCGGTGTCATCTGTCAGGTTCACTCCCAAGCGCGACACCCCCTCTCTCAGCTGCCTCTTTAAACTATCAAAGTTTGCCCTTCTGAAATCTGGGACTTTAATGGAATTTTCCTTAAGTCTGACCTGAAAATCTAACTGGAATCTAATTTCTTTGTGATCGCTGTTTGCAAGTTAGTTCCCTACCTCGACATTGCTAATGAGGTTTTCTCTGTTCGACAGAACTAAGTCGAGTATATTATTACCCCGGGTGGGTTCAGTTATATATTGACTTATGAAACAGTCCTGGATCGTTTCGAGGAAATCCTCCGATACTGAGTTACCCGTAAGGTCAGTCCAATCTATTTGGCCAAGGTTAAAATCGTCTACTATACAGACTTTGTTGTGTATGGAAGCCCTGCGCATTTGATCCCAGATAAGTCGCTCATTAACTCTTATAAGATTGGGAGGTGTATATATTACTCCTATGATTAATTTTTCCCTACCGTCGATTAATTCTATCCAAATTGTTTCTGTATTCCGCTCAGTTTTTATTTCCTTATATATTTCACACTTCAGATTATCCCTGACATAGATTGCTACTCCGCCTCCTTTCCTGGACGGCCTATCGGTATGGAACAATTTGTAATCCGCAATTTGGTATTCGACAGGTAACTCACGTGAGTCTAGGTTGATCCATGTTTCAGTGAATGCTATTATATGGATTTTTTCGGTACATACCAAGGCCCTAATATCATCCATTTTGTTTCTCATACTTCTACTGTTCGCGTAGTAGACATTTAGATTAGTCATGTTCTGAGTTCTCCCTCTACCGCGTTTAGGTCTTAACTCGCTGTCTAATTTAGCTTTGTCATCATTCCTAACACTATTTCCCTGTAACCTTTTACTTTGTTTACCCTCTCCCACTGCAGTCTCCTCCACCCCCGTGCCCATATGTTCCCCTAGTAGTTTAAAGACTTCGATATCTTTTGAACTGCCCCCTCTAGAGACCTGGCCAGGGTTGCCACCCCCATCCCGAGACAGGTGCACCCCATCCCTAGCGTAAAGGTCCCTTCTGCTGTAGAAGTTGTCCCAGTTGTCAATGAATGGGACTGATATTGACTAGCAATATCTGTCAAGAGGGTCGGTGACACCAACCGCCCTTGACAACCATTCACTGCCAACTCTCCTTCTAGGCAGGACACGCATATGATAGGTATCCCTCCCCTAGTCCTAATACGATCTATAGCTGCCTTGAACTTATCAAGAAGCTCCTCGCTCCTACACCGGCCAATATCATTGCCTCCTGCACTGAGGCAGATAATGGGTTTGTTCCCATTACCAGAGAAGATATTGTCCATCCTGTCAATTATATCCCCCACCCCAGCTCCTGACAAACACACCCTCATCCTATTTTTGTTTTTACCACAAAAAGCCCTGTCCAAGTACCTTACCTGTGAGTCGCCAACAATTAAAGTTTTTATACCTTCCTTGTCAGCCCTGTCCCTGACTGTACTAACGTCCAATTCGTCTATCAAGGGACTGTACGAGTTGGTACACTTAGCTGTTGATGTCGTTGTTGACGTATCCTTGGTGTGTTTTTTCTTCACCAGTTTGGTCTTCCCTCTCCTCACAACCTTCCACTTGCCTGAGTTTTCTTCAGACACGGGCTCTCCTTGTCCCGCCTCTTCCTTCATCCTCGCCATCTCTTCCTTTAAATTCAGGTCTCCAACGTGGCCCTCTCTAATCCTTCCTTGGCCCTCTCCAATTCTTCCTTGGCCCTCTCCAGCTTGGCCAACAAATTCACACACCCCAGACCACACATAGCACTGGCCATATTTGATAATTATCCCTCGGGAGCTAACCCTGCCGTGACCTTTCCCCTAATGAGGTCAGAACACGTCCCCCAGTCATGCACATTTACCAGTCATGCACGTTTGCCAGTCATGCACGCTTACCAGTCATGCGAGTTCATCAGTCATACACGTTTACCAGTCATGCACGTTTACCAGACATGCGCATTCATGAATCATGCGCGCTCATCAGTCATGCACATTCATCAGTCATGCACGTTCACCAGTCATGCATGTTCACCAGTCATGCACGGTCACCAGTCATGCACGTTCACTAGTCATGCACGTTTACCAGTCATGCGCATTCATCAGTTATGCGCGTTCATCAGTCATGCGCGTTCTCCAGACATGCATGTTCACTAGTCATACACGGTCACCAGTCACGCTCGTTCACCAGTCATACACGGTCACAAATCATGCACGGTTACAAGTCATGCATGGTCACAAGTCATGTACGGTTACCAGCATCACCAGTCACGCATGAGTAGTTTCCTTGATATACGTTGTTCACCAAAATATGTATAAGGCATTAGTCACCACAACACACAATACTGCTCACCACAACAAAACAGTACTCACAAAAACACAAAAAACAATGACGTTTCCTTAAACCCTAGAGTACGATGCCTTATCCCGAGTACTATGAATCCACCCATTGAGTAATATATATTTACCCTTGAGTGCGACGACTAAGCCCTTAGAGTACAATATTCAATCCCTGATGTACGATGTCGTTTTCTCCTGTGAATATCATGGTCAAGTAAAAGGGTAACTCATATAAAGATAAGAAATATACCTCCATTTCAATACTTTATAGAAAACGAGAACATGGGCCTGGTTAGTAGACACGCGCACGAGACTAAAAACTAAACCCCATTACCTTAGATTAATTGAGGTAAGACTTTGGTGTACATATTACATCTAGTACAACACAACCTCCAGGACCAAATCTAATCTAATCTAATCTAATCTAATCAAATCTAAGCTAAGCTAAACTAACCTAATCTAAGCTAATTTGACGCTTATATTACAACAAAATCTCTAAACCATACGATCCTTTTCCCTTGAAACCTAACCTAACCTAAACTAATTTAACGTAAGGAAACCTATATTAATCTAACCTAACTTTCCAGAAAACACAATATACTTATCTTGAAATCTAACATAACATAACGTAACAGAACCTAACCTTGCTGCGATACAACAAAACTCACCTGAAAGTTACACCTCTGCGCCATAGGTAAGCAGGTGCCGTCCCCACAAGTAAACTGTTGACTGTTGCAAGTGGTGAGCGTGAGGGTGAGCTGAGTGGTGTTCTGGGCGTCAGTACAACCTCCCCCACTCACCACCCACTCCCTCCGACCCACCGGGAAGTTCATGGAAGCCGGGGGAATCAGACTACTCTTGGCAGCACGGTTGGGGTGTTCCAGCAGCCACTCTTTGCCATCCCAGGTGAGGTTTGTGCCAGTGTAGCCTCTGAAGAACGGCCTCGAGCGTTTATAACCATAGATGACGTAGTGCGAGTCATAAGGAAGTAGAGGGCAGAGTCCACGTAGTGTCAGAGTGACGGGACCAGCACTCTGACACACGAAACAGTAGTTGTAATTAACAGTACAACTTAAGTCAGCCCAAAATCCTGCAAATTCCCCGGAGAGTAACACGGCGCAGTTTTCTATGTTTCCCCCGTTGGGTGATCCAGTCTTCCAGTTGGAGTAGGTTATAGCATCACCGGTGGCCTTACTGTGCCACAAGGACTCACTGTTTTCGTCCGTGACTCCCAGCCAAATAAGATTGTCTCCCTTACCCATGCACCGACTCTCCCCAGAAGAGAGGTTCAAAATAGCGGCGTTCTGGGAAGTGCCAGAGGGGACCACCACGCTGCTGGAGAGAGAGAGACACAACCTCGTCGCTTTGTCAAAGTTTAAAGGGTCTGAAACAAGCACATGGGAAGTCGCGTTGATGGTGCACACATCTTCACGAGGAGCTGTGTCTATTTTGGCGGAGTTATTGTATTCCCAGGTATTTGGCTCCCACTTGAGGACTGCATCGAAGGTATTAAGATTACATACTGCTTGATCCTGGATCTCCCAGGGCTGTAGGACTCTATCCCAAACATAGAGGCCTGTCACCTGCCCTGCGTACGACTGGTCGGCTTGGTAGCCTCCCTGGAGGGAGTCGTGGTCCTGGCCGAGGATGAGGTGGCCTCCTCCACGAACTTTCCCAGGAGAGGCACCACTGGAGGTGACAAGCACACCCTGGGAGTGACGACGACCGTACAAATACAGCTCCCAGGCACCTGTGACTTCTTTGTACGTGTGGCAGACGTTAGTCCAATAAGTGGGCGGTGGCTTGACGTTTATGATCACCCACACACCCCTCACGGCCATGGCCAGGTTGTTCATGCTGAAGTCTGGAAAAAATCATCAAAATTAACAACAATCTTAGTATAACCTTGCTTGATGTAAAACGTAAGCCTAATAGGATCACAATCTACTGTGGGACTGATATAGTAGTCCTGCCATAGGGCCCCATATAAAAAATTCCCGAATATTATTTTTCACGTTGGTTTTGTAGTACAGTACCTGAGTGTGAACATTATTAAAGGTAGACACTTACCATCTGATATGAACTTCTGCTGGGGGCCAAATAAAAGATGGCCGTTGTTGTTTTAGGTTAGAGAAAACAAAACAAATACTGGATACAGACATTACAGAAACATTTATTTAAGACACAAATATGATATGTAAATAGTATGAAGATCTTCCCTTAGTACAAATAGAGATATCATATTAATCAACACAATAAACGTAATAATTTCAACAATGATTCTGACCACATTTACAATAAATGAACTTGGTACTCCAGCAATAGAACACTGTGCTCGAGACGCAGTGAGAGTAGTGAACATTCTCACCCCTTGGCTTCCACGTAGTGTTTAGGAAGGACCAAGGGAACAGAAGCCTTAAAAAACAAAAGGAAATAGATGTAGGAGGTATAAAAGGAAAATTGTGTTTTTATACATCTAGACTCGCATGGCTCATCTACCTCTTCACCAAGACTCTACGGACGACCCTACGGACGACCCTACAGACGACCCTATGGACGACCCAACAGATGACTCTACGGACGACCCTACGGACGACCCTACAGACGACCCTATGGACGACCCAACAGATGACTCTACGGACGACCCTACGGACGACTCAATGGAGGAACCTAAAGACGACTCCACAGATTCTCTAGTGGTCTTTCGAACCACCTTAGAGTTCATTTATAGAGATGACGTCAATAACAATTCATATCATTCTGCTCAATCATCCTCATCGTCAAACTCGCTTCTGGGTGACAGCAAAGGTGTATGTGTGTGTAATAATAATAAAAATAATAATAATAATAAAAATAATAATAATAATAATAATAATAATAAACGGTTTATTAATAGAATTGCAGCCGGTGGATGAAAATATACAAACTTACATGTGATTTGGACATAATAATATGCGTTCAATACATTTACAGGGCTGTAGAGTACATAAATCAGGAGATGTTTATTATTTTGACAATAGATGGGATGGTGCTATTCTTATATCTATCAGTGCGGGCTCTTATGGGCTGAATTTTGTTGTAGTGGCGGACTGCGCGAGGTGGCAGGAGGTGGCGATGACGAGGATGGTGCAGTAGTCCACTGCCAAACCTTGCTAGTGATTGGTGGTGGAGGTCACTGAGAGATGGCATTTCCCGGGTGGAGAGAGCGTTGTTGTAGCCGGAGAAGTCTGTGCGGAGTATGATTCTGCAGGCCCTTTTCTGTACATTCTCTAGCTGACGTTGTTGGGTAGAGTTGTGTGTGTGTGTGTGTGTAAGCAGTTTAGACTAGTTTAGTATGTAGCCAGTATAGCAACCAGAGAATTATATACACCGTGGATGAATAGGTTTTCATTATGCATTTTACTTTGACCCGCAGGAGTCAAAGATGTTTTCATAGCAAGCATGTAGTAAGCAGTAATAAGTATTTATTTAGCCTGCTCAAATGCAGTTGTTTTAGTCACGTATACGGTCTGGCGACAGTGTGTCGACCAGAGATGATTTGATATGACGAAATCACCTTTGAAACTCATTACTTATTCAATTAATGACTCTTACTTGATAACTTGGTACATTGATTATCATGAGTAGACTTCCAAGTATTTGATGTAAATTATTAGTCAGATTAGTTAGAGATCTGCAACGTCAATTAAGGATGATTCACGGCTCTAACGAGATCATTTTCCAAACAGCTATTTCAGTAACGCTGCTGACACTGATTCAGGTGTTCATGCCAAGGAATTGACTCATACCAACCCTTCCTGCTAGTAGAAGCTTCAACCCTTGCATCATCCCTCATGACGTCATTGTCAGTTAGCCCCGAGGTGGGTTCGCCCTGGAAGAGCTAGGCAGTCTTTAGCTGAACACCACACATTACTGATCTACCATTGAGCAGTAAACTGAGAGACATTTTCAGTCCTAGTAGATCTAAATAGTATCTCTAACACTGCTTTCAGCTCACAGCTCTCAGTTCCAGATCAAGTGGCCAGCCTCTCTGTAGATACAAGTATATATATATATATATATATATATATATATATATATATATATATATATATATATATATATATATATATATATATATTTCATTAGCCCAATAAAGCACGTGGAGTTCTACATACAATCAACACCTCAACCCGCCAGGATTCGAACCCACGGCCCACGAGCCCATGACTGTGACCGGGGAACGCTACCTCTGGACCACCAGGATACTAAAAGCAGTCCTAGACTCTGTTATATTTCACACAAAGCCTGTTTAACGAGCTTATGGCACCGTAAACCTCTAATGGGGACTACCAGTATCACGTAGGTGGTCAGAGTGACGTTTTACCAAATCCGACTTCGAAACACGAGGATCCATATATATATATGTCATTAGCCCAATAAAGCACACGGACTTCTACATACAATCAGCACCTCAACTAGCCAGGATTCGAACTCACGGCCCACGAGCCCATGACTGTGACCGGGGAACGCTACCTCTGGACCACCAGGATACTAAAAGCAGTCCTAGACTCTGTTATATTTCACACAAAGCCTGTTCAACGAGCTTATGGCGCCGTGAACCTCTAATGGGGACTACCCTTATCACGTAGGTGGTCAGAATTACGTTTTACCTGGTGGGTTGAGGTGTTGATTGTATGTAGAAGTCCGCGTGCTTTATTGGGCTAATGAAATATATATGGATCCTCGTGTTTCGAAGCCGAATTTGGTAAAACGTTACTCTGACCACCTACGTATATATATATATATATATATATATATATATATATATATATATATATATATATATATATATATATATATATATACTCTATATATATATATATATAAATCTTGATAAAATCACACGGGAAAAGGGAAACAACGGAGCACCTTAGCTTTCGTCGTTATTCAAGACATCTTCAGAGGCAACTGGATTACATGAACAGAGAGAGGCTTAAATATACAGGTTGACCTTATTAAACATGAGGTCAGGTTATAATGATGTCATCCACTAATCCCCACACCAATACCAACACACACGTAGAGGAGCTTAAGAGAAGCTGGCGACGTGACTAGTCAGGTCAGGTCAAAAATAAGGGACCCACTAAATAACTATCTTACATCTAGATAAAAGGTTTTCAAAGCATTTTTAACCTTGGGCCACTGACAAATAAATTTATGTAAAATATTATCAGTTTTGAACTGACCATCACTAATGTATATTGTTTCCCTTTTCCCGTGTGATTTTATCAATATATATATATATATATATATATATATATATATATATATATATATATATATATATATATATATATATATATATATATATATATATATATGCAGTGTAGGTGAGTACACTCTTCTAAGGGGTGAGTACAGTCTGTACTCACCCCTGAAGATGTGAATTACACGAAAGCGCTTGGGAACTTCGTGTTTTCTTCTTTCCTTGTGGTTATCAGCATATACCTAGATCACGCGCACCTACAGTGATTTACTTGCATATATGTAATATTCAGAAATTTCAGTGTGATTCAGATACGCGCGCCATATTGGGATACTAAGCTTTCAAGGTCGTCTGAGGTAAGACAGCGCTCCGCAACCACAGTGAGAGCATGTTGAACTAGGCCTATACGATATTAAATGTAGTTTACCGAATTAATATGGACGAGAATCATGAAATTAAATGACATTATTAAATTTGAAATTTTTATAGATCGTTTCTCAGTCTAAATATGTTACGGGTGTCCCAAGAAAGTTATTAGTTAGGCGGAAAATATGTCACGTAGGCCTAGGCTACGGCCTTGGAAAAGCATGAGGTTGGCTGTTTCTCAGTCAGACGACAGCGTTTGAGCAGAGAGGACGGTCTGTGCGTCAGACAGGACAAAACAGTCACGTGGTCTAGTCACCTGTGTTGCGACATTGCAGTATAACAAGTAGTCTTATTCGATCTCAGACAGAGTTTAGATAGGGCAGTGATAAAGTTAACAAGAGCTAACAGTGAGTTCATTGCAGGATTTTCGTCAGAACCCACTTGACTGCGATTGATGACTGCCATTTGAGACTGCCGTTGATGATTGATGATTAGCGATTGTCACAGTTGGAACGATCAGTGCAGGCTTGTCACTGGTTGGCTGGGTTAGCAAGGGATCTCTGGAGTGAAACCAGCTGTCTGGGTGCATAACTAAGGACGTGGGACCATCGTCTGCCCTTGGTTGACGATCGTCTGGGGTCGCCAGATCTCTTCTACCTCAGCTCACAATATCACATATCTTCAAGCAGTTAGTGAAAACCTTACGAGAAGCTAAAGCTTCTCTCAACTGAACAAGGTCTGATTGGCTCACTCCCTTCCGTTTCATGGATGTACTGAGTGTAAAAATGGGGCCAGCTGAGTGAATGAATGGTCACACACTGAGATCAGGAGTCTAGTGGAACTTAGAGCTACATTTTCCAAGGTTGAGAAAGGCTTGTTTGGGCCTTAAACTACGGGTGCCTGTTGGTTGTGCTTTAAAAAACTACGGGTGCCTGTGGAATCTATGTGTTAGGTTAGGAAGCATGGTTTACGGGTATTGGTGGACTCAGTAACTTTTTAATATAGTGATAATATTTTTTCAGTGACTGATATTGTCTTGCTGTGTGTAGTTTATATTTCTTAAATAATTTTGATAGTATTGTTTTTTAATGTTTGTGTCACTAATTGATGCCAGAGAATGAGGGAACTGTTTTTCAGATGAGGTTCCTCCTTTCTGTTGTAAGTGTTACTGTGATTTATTTCCTTTAATGCAGTTAATATTTTTTTATAATTTCTATTTTTTATACTATTTCCTCAGTGAGTGAT